ACGGGAATTAATTTGATAGTGTGTTCTGATTGCGGATGATCGGAGACACCCTATATGTATCGATTCACAAATTTACTTATTTTTGAGCAACAAAATTCAAAATAAATGAAAATATTTTGATAATGACGCGAAATCAAATTTGAAAATTTAGTTCGTGCTTGAAGGTCTAAGAGACAATACAATTTTTTTTTCTCTATCGTATCGCGTTATACCTTTAGACGACAAATAGATGTAACCATGTTTTGAAACTCGAAATTATACGCATTCTTTTTTTGTGCTGCGAGAGGAATGCGCGTGCTATACGAGATTGGTTTTTGTACCATTTATGTACAAGGAGCTCTCACAATTCTCTTGGAATTCTGAAGGAATTCAATGCGAAGCAAAGCGAAGCAAAGACGGAATATATAGTATAAACCGTTTACAAGTCGATTACAAGTCGCATTTTCACAACAGGTTGCTTCCCAACGAAGGCGATCCCCCCCCCCCCATCAACGAAGAAATCGCGGATTTGTTCTCGCAGACGTAGCGTGGCCGTGCACCCGCCGACAGTAAAGTTGTAAATCGATCGATATCTCCTGACGGCAGTCACTTGTCGCGGCAATAGAACCACGCCCGCGGTTGGTACCCGCGGGCTTCGCCATAGCGCCATAAAGCCGCTTACGTAAACGGAGGCAAAGATATATTGCCACCATGAAATACGGTCCTCGGTCGTTTCTGTCCTCTCACGCAGAAATAATTATTATTTATTTATAACTTAAACGTCGAGCGCTTTTTCACTCTCCAGTAATTTTATAACGTGACTTTCCTCTAAGTAGTTGCGCACGGTGCAGGTCGAATAGACACGAAATAGTCTTTACCCCTCTTCTCTCATTCTTTTATTACAAATTTAAAAAGTTTAATAAAAATGTAATCAAATCTATAGGTGGAATAGACACGAAATAGTCTTTACCCCTCTTCTCTCATTCTTTTATTACAAATTTAAAAAGTTTAATAAAAATGTAATCAAATCTAAAGTAAGAATTTTTTTTATTGTTGGCATTTTAAGTTCTCAATTGTTAATTAACATTCCACTGTCTCTAGATACTTATTATTATTTTATGGTTTTTTTCTTCTACCGATTAGTCAGAAATATATCATGTCCTTTATAGAAACCTTCGCAATTCAGCAATAAACTTCTTTCTTTAGTGCTTCTAATGATCTTTTAATTACGGTCATTTTTTAATCTTAGGTGTATCCTAGATACTTATTTCTTTCCCAGAGAATTTTGGCGTCTATCGTTAGACACCGAGATTTTAGCGCATTTATATCACCTAAACGGTTACAAATTTTCTCACGAATCGTGTGATTCCATTGTCCCGGCCCAATCTTTCGGATTCAATAATGATGAAGAGATTAATGAGAAAAAATACACAGAAAAACGTTCGAAGGGCGGACCACTTATTTAAAAACCTAGTTCAATAAGCGTTTTCTTATCGTTATTGTTATTAAATCTGATTACGAGATTTCTTCAGAAGACTCTTCTGCTGCGCTACGAACAAAATCGCTCTCATTGAGATAATAAAAACTGTAAGAGTCAATGTATTAAGAAAAGAATTTACGCATTTAAAAAATCTTATCAAATATATTTATAGTCTCATCTTAATTTAAAGCCGTTTTAACTTTTAAGTGACATCTAAGGTGCTAATATGACTCTGGTGACTGGCTTATGACATTGGTCTTAAAACATCTGAGATTGTACTTAAGACCAACTATGAATACCAGCCGTAATATCGTCAGATTGCGTTTATTTTCTTTCGTGTTCTTTTTTTTCACGTAACCCTAAATTCCTCGTTGCACATCGACGTGACGCGCCGCGCCGGATTTGGCGAAATGCAGCGTCTTACTTAATATAAGTAGAAATACTCGCGATCTCTTACGCGAACGCAAGCAGACAACGCATACGCACGTCATATCCTGGAGCCGTCGTCGGCGCGCAGCTCGCACTTTGTAAAAGGCCTCCGCACGCCTACTAGGACACAAGTGTCTCCTTTTCAAGTGACCGCTGCCTTTTTTACGAGCGTCTCGTAATTTTCCGAGAGAGGTTCCTTTCCCTCATCTCGCGCGCGGTGTCGATCCGCGGCACTGCAGTGCAGAACGCGTGGACCACTGCAATCGCACGCACCAGATCGCCCGCAGCGTCCAAGCCTACAGTCGCTTTTATTATCGCTTCATTGTTTCCCACGTTCAACGTGTCCAAGTTCAGCTCTTTGGGCTCGCGAATAATGACGATCGTAGATCAGTCTGCAATACGTTGCAAAACAATCCAATAAAATTATAAGACAATTAATAACAATCTTTGCAAAAATTAAATTCTAATTAAATTCTTTTCTTTTTCTTACTCTAAATTACGATCTAAAGAGCTACCAATAATAGTAAGAACAGTTGTGGAGTCCGATAATATACGTATATTACCAAATTTATAAAAAATCTTTTTCTTGTCGCAATGGCTAAAAATAGATCTTTCAGGAAGACTAGTCGATTCGCTCGATAATTCGCGACGAATAAATTAATCATAGATGTTCCTCGTAATAATCGCGACGCCGAGACAGCCGCGTGTAGGTACCTCACCGATTATGTAAACCCCTTAATTGATAATGTTGTAAATCATTTGCATCTGGACTTTACCGTTAAGTTTCTACTTAATTCTAAATTATATGAAAAATAAGGAGTTTTGCGTCCTTCGCTGTGGTTTCTGAAGATTTATCTGCAAAAAAATTTTCCATTTCCCATTGCGCATAAAAATTATTAATATCTAATAGACATGTCTATCTAATGTCAGATTTTTATTCAGCAGAAATGTCTGGATATAAATAATTTTCATGCGCGACTGTAGAAACGGAAAGATTTTTCGCAAGTAAAATTCCAAAAGGACCAATAAGCGATGGGGAACAATAAATACTTTGTTTTTGCCATGTAATTTCGAGTGGACTTTTATAGCAATTCTCTCTCACTGCAAAAGTAAGAGATTTAAAGTATTCTAAATCTCTCTCTGTTATTAGACGAGTCAAGGCGAATACTTAGAATCGAAGAAATAAAGTGAGGAAAATGTGATCGACAACGCAGATAACAATGAAAGCATTAAAGCAGAAGCGCGTTACAGGCGCGTCGAGCGTGTCTCTCTCTCTCTCTCTCTCTCTCTCTCTCTCTCTCTCTCTCTCTCTCTCTGAATTAAAGTAATTTATTATCTTTATCGTAAAAGTAACCGTTTTGCTCACACTGACGAAAATGACGCAATACGCAGAAATGGCTGCAACTCGGCATATCGGCAAATCGGGCTTATTGTTGATTCATTTTGTTCGCCTACTTTCAGACCTAGATTTTAGATTGTACAATTTCAAAATCTCAGCCGATATTCGATCTCCTTTACCACAAGTTTCTCACGATCGAATGACGATGACGCGGAAGTATTAGATAACGATTTTCTTATCAATGAACAGTGAAACAGTTCATTTGATGGGCTCCTTAAAAAGGATATCCTTGAAAAAGAATCTGCAAGTGTTTTCTATTCTAACATGGAACAAATGTACAGAGAAGAGAATATAGTCGTGGCAACTATAAAGGTGACAAATGCTATGCAGAATGAATATACATATAACAGTTGAAACTAATTTATAAGTTAACAAGCTAATAAGCTACGAGTATAGTTTAATAATTTTATACATATATATGTATACATATAGTAATTATTAAACTATATTATTAATTATATTACTAACTATATTATTACATCGAGAGAAAAATGTAATTAAAATAACCATAATTTAACTATAATTTATAGTGAATTTAGGGGACAACTATAAAATTGTAATTAATTTAACAATGCAAATTATAGCTGCTTTAACAATGTATTATACATTATACATTAATTATGATTGTGGATATTTTTTTTTTTCGTTTACTTATTTTTTAGTTATTATTACAATATAAATAGTAAACAAATGTTAAGAAAATAGTTATACTTACTATAATTGCAGTTGCATCTACTATATAAAAATATTTATTTAATTTATCTCATATATATCTTAATATTTTGCTATATTAATATTTGAAATTATTATAATTTATAGTAAAATTTTTTTTACATTTGGTAGGATTATATATATAAGGTTATTATTACTAACATTATAATAATAATAACTATAAAAATATTGCTCCTAACCATAATTTTTTTACCATGCAATTATAGTCACAAATACAAATTATTTTTCTCTTTACTATAGTCTCTCCTAGCCTCTGCTATAATCCTACATTTAAAACTTGTATTGTTGCTATGTTCTTTTTCTGAGTATATAGAAAAATACGAGTACCTAGAGATACGTATTACTTAGACTTTATTCGCAGGTTGTTTTCTCTTATCGGACGTTGGTGCGAAAAAAAAAGTTTATCGAAGTTTTTCGTATGACGGCGATGATTCAATGATGCAATCGTCTAGATTTAAGAGGGACATCATCATCGATTAGTATACGTCAAGTTGCTAATACAGCAACACGGATGCCAAGCCGTTGGACGACTCTCGCGTTGCATCGGGAGAACGGGAGTTGGATTACGCACGGTGGTAGTTCGATTCGAACGACCGCAGCGCGCGCTTCTGATAATCGCGAGGTGCGATCCGCCAAATGGAATTGTCCGACACACGATTTATCGAAACGTGAGACGCTCATCAGTGACGAGCTGCTAGTCCCGTGAAGTCGGAGTTGATTAACCCGAAATACACGGTCACAAGGATCAATCTCTTGTCGCACGAGCGTTATATAGTTTCTACGATACCGCGTAACACTCTTCGACGACAGCTTGTTAACGACGAATTACGAGCGGTTAATTGCGGCATAACTGCCCGATCCGCGATCTCTAATAGCCGCTCTCTCGGCTACTTAATTTGCTCCCCCCCCCCCCCTCGACAAAAGAAAAAGAAGAAAGACGTTCCGCGCGCTCGTGTGCGTACGTGCGTGCGTGCGTTACCTTATTTCGCGACGTACATCGTTATAACGCGTAACGCGGAAAGTGTCCCGATCTGGGACAGTCCGGATACCCCACCCGCGATCCAGCGACCCGTCGATCCCGATGGCCTCCGGCTTCACTCCCTCTTTTTTCGCCTCACCTCCGCCTGTTCTCTCGGTGCCTTCCCTTTCGGTCTTTGGTCCTCGCTGCCATCCGGTCGAGACCGGCAGGGTTTACTAAGACAGCACGCGTCCTCCAGAAACTTCAGTGTAAGACGCGCGCTCGCACTTGAAGGATCATCGGATTTCCTCCACTTTGACAGAGGGACACGAGACAGGACGTTTGAGGGTGCGAAAGAGAGAGGGCGGAGGAGAAGATCCAATTAATTCATGCGGGATGCCGATGTGACGTTCGACAGTTCGAGTGCGAGATCTCCTGCGTCTTCAGTATCGATCCGATTGTGATCCATCGCGATTTCGGTGTTCCTGATCGGGGGTTTCTGTGGAAAGCGCAATGTGGGGTCGTGGTGTTCTGCTAGTGTCGTTCGCGCTCATAGCGCTTGGAACGACGAGTAAGTGTGATTATTTGAAAAACAATCTTTCCGTAAATTTTTTTTATAAATTTTTGAAGTTCAGAATTGAAAGATTTTCTATGCTTTAATTTATCCTAAAGCATTTAAAAAATATATTTTCCGTTCTTTTAAATTACTTATGAGAGACAAAATAACAAATTTAATAATATATTTCTCAATATAATTTTAACAATTTATATATTAATAACTTTATTATAAATAAATTAAATTATTTATTTTTAAATAAAAAAAAAATATTAATCTATATAGTAAAATTAATAAAGAATGCTATTTAATAATCCAGATTTATTGATTTATTTAAAATTACATTTACAATAATTATAAAAAATAAAACATTTATTCTTCGTTGCTTAATAATTTTTTTATTTTGTTTTTAATCGCAAAATTATTTTATATTTAGACACACATTTCTGTTAAGCTTAACTAGAAAAGTTTCGATATAAATAACTTCTATATGCAACGGAAATTAGAACCTTCTTGCAAATAAAAAATAAAATAATGACGTTTTATTTTTTATTTAATTTTAACTATTAAATAGAAAAGCAATTGTTTAGACGTAAGTAATTTTTATATGCAATTGAAAATAAATTGGAATCTTTTTATACAAATTTGCAAATAAATCTTCAGAAATAAATAAAAATTGAAACGTCCCACTTTACTAATAATGTAACTTTATATGCGAGTTTAAAGAATATACACGACATAAATAGATTTTTGATTACGTTGCGTACAACTTCCGTAGACGAGGTGAAAATTGAATGGTTCATTCAGAGAATTAAATAGCACGCGTCGACGAAATGTGAACGAGTGCGACGCAAAAAGTGATCTTCTGCCGATTGCGTTACACGCGTATCGGATACACCGCGTCCTAAGGTTAAATTACGCCACGTGCAACTGATTGTGAGAAGCGATCATCCTCGCAAGGACGATACCATTTATGTCATCGATTGTGTGCATACTCGCGTATACTCCAAATTCCGATGACCTGCACCTTTGACGGCTGCGGAGTCATTTAACGATGACTCAAAGAAATTTTTTCTTGTACACTGAGAGAAAAACTTGATTGCAATTATCATAATTCAACTACAACGTATAGTCATTTTCGGTGTCAACTATTTCATTAGTAAAACTATAGATATAATATATAATTATTATTACTAATTATTATTACTAATATTACAGCAGTAATAATCAGTAAAAATGGAGCTCCTAATCATAATTTATCGTGCTATGCAATTATCGTCATAAATACCAAACACGTTTTTTTCTCACTGTATCTCCGAGCCCGATGTAAATCGATTAACATTAATATGAACCGGCCGTACGAATAAAATGGCGTAATTTGATTTATCGAAATTAATACCTCACAGCAAAAATGTAAAACATGAAATGTACGGTACGTTTTTGCTTTCAAGTGAATTCTTTTATATCCTGCATTCAATAAGAAATACTCGCTCTTCGCCGTACTCCTCTACCCGTCTGATTAAACGTTCGACGAGCGCGAGTCGCACGTGGCATAAGTGACATTTGTAATATTTATACGCGAGGAAATAGTGTTTACATTTATCGCGAAGAATTTGCCAAGCGTCGCGCAATCCGTACGCAGCGTTACGCTCAATCATACGCGCGATCGACCGCTGGCACATAGTTATTATCTCCATGTATCCGGGACTGATGTTGATTATTAATAAGGCACGTGCAATCTCTCGCTTCTTAATCTCCCGCGGATCATCCTCCGTGCGCCTCTTTCTTTCTTTTATTTTTTTTAAGAGAGAGTTAATAGCCAGGCTCGCGTGACTGTGCAAAAATCGCAATCACAATAACGCACTGTGTGTGACCGGTCGATGATGTCAACCGATCGAAACTTCCGCTGGTTCTCGAATCTTGTTCGCGCCGGCCGGCCGAGCACCGCGTTTTCTTACGGCGCGGCGAGGTAAAATCGAAGTATGCATACATAATTCAATCTGTTGCAGAATGCCCGACGAGGAAAGCGTCGCCCGTCAGGGAGATCCTCTGCTACACTTCCAGCTACGACGCGCAGCTTCTGGACGGCTCCGTGTGCGGCTGCACCACTCTGGTGCACCAAAGTCACGACGTGCGGAATCTCTCAATTTCCGGTAGATGCAATAATTCTGATAACAAGGGAATGATCAAGCTGTAATTCGAACCGCGCTCGAACCATTTCGAAATTATACATCACGTCGCTGTTAGAAATGCAGACGAGTGAGAATTCGACAAGACGCTTGTAATGGAAGTGACAAGATTAGTTTTGAAACGTTACGAATATCAATGAGACATACGGCTGCGTTCGGGGAGTGCGCTATTAGCGATATTGCGTCATTCTATTCTTGTTTAATAAAGATAGAATGAAACGCATAATATAAATAAACGCATAAAATAAATGATACTCATAGCGCGCTCTCCGAACGCAGCCATGAGTGTAACTGAAAGAAAACGGAAAGTATATCTGATTGCAATAATTGGAAATCAGATTCAATAAAAGTTACAATTCAGATAGACTTATTATAGAAACTTAAGGAAGGACTTAAAGGAATTTTGATTGATATGATCGGAATATATTTTATCATAATTGAATTTCTGATTATTTCAACTAGAAAGTTTGATGGCTTTAACTAAATAAATTTATTTATTTTAAATGCAAGGCTGGATAAAATGCTTTTCGAATTATATTTAAAATGCAAAATGTAAAATGAGTTTTTCAAATCCATTTTAAATATAAATACGTAAATAGGTATTTTAAATAATTTTCAAATGCAAAATAGTTGTTCTTAATGTATGCAATTAAATTCGCAATTTATTTTAATATAATCATACATTTTATTTGTTTTATTTAATAAAACATTTAGAATCATTTCATTCTTGTTGTTCGCTGAAAGTTAAACAAGAACAAATGATACTCGTAAACGTTAAGTTCAACGTAGGGCGCGTTCAACAAATAGATCAGTAAGCGCTCAATGATTTGCCTTTGTTACGGTATTGGTTCGTTCACTCAGATCCAGCAAAAAGCTAAAGGCAAAAACCAATCATATTAAAGAATCACTAAACGCTAAATGCTCTATTTTGTCAATTAAACGCGTCCATAAAAGAAATTGTGTTTTGACCAATTACGAAACTTGATATCTTTTCATCAAAAATTATGTTTACACGTCATTCTTAATCGGGTTTAATAATATCTATAGCTATGAAACTGGCAAATCACAGTCATTTTATTCTTCAGAGAAATAGTTTTGATTGGTTACATTAATTACTACATATGTTATTAAACTCGATTAAGGCTACATTTACTTTGACACTTACAGCGCTTATCATTTCAGCCTTGCTGTTTTTTAAACGTTAAAGAAGAACAAATAATGCTCACAAGTGTTGTAAATGCCAAATCGGACGCAGTCTAAGAGTAACGTGTAAACATGTAAACGTAATTAATAACACTAGGAGAAATTTGTGAGCGCTTTAAAAAAACCATTTACCCATTTTACAAATAGTTAAATGTATAGATATTTCCATTTCAAATGTAAAATAAAAATGGTTTTTCAAAAAGCATTTGAAATATAAAATTCAAAATACCATTTCTATTTTAAATACATATTTAAAATAGATCTATTTCAAATATTACTTAGCACTGTTTAAATGATTTGTATATCTTTTGTTGATTGAATCTATTAGATTTCCAATTAATGCAACCAGATTTTTTTCTGATTATACTTACGGCTATGTTTGGGCTATTAATGCTATTATATATTATTCTATCTTCATTCATTAGATTTAGAACAAGGAAATGCTTCAAATACGATACAAGGAATTTTGAGCGGTATGATCAGAATTCCTTTTCTCGTAATTGCATTTTGTTTTATTGGTACAACCAAAACATTTTTCTCAGTGTGATTAGATTTGAGTGAAAATTTTTGCGAAACTAAATTTAAATGTATTCCAAAGTGTATTACCAATTGCAAATAACATGTTCTAGACATCTCTGACTTGCGGAAAACTTTGAAAGAGATGTATCCGCCTCTACAGTTCGTAATTTCTATACACGATCCCGCGATGACGCTCAGAAATTCCGCCATGATACGACAGGAAGCTATCGCTCGAATTATTGCCGTTATGAAAGAGGTATGGTATTTCCTATTGTCACATCTTGAGGTGAGATTTTATCTTCCGAGAAGACAAGATGACTTAAGAATTGAATAATCACGTAATGATTAAACATATATTTCAATATATAAGTATAAATCTTGTATAATTAAGTAGGCTGGTAAAGAAATATCAATTAAGATAAACTCGTAAAACAGAGTTATGTAAGTGTAAATATTAAATTGCGAAAGTATATATGTTAATAAAAGGAAGTTTTTCTCTTTGTTCAAGGTGGACGGCGTGGAAATGAACGTGACGGCGGGTTCGAAGGAGCGTCTTTACAATTTTGTCAAAAGTCTTAAAAACGAAATGATTCGAAAGTCTTACGACAAGAGAATTTTCATGACGTTGCCCATTAGACCGGAGGATTTAGCCAAGCAGTTCGATATTAAGGAACTCATAAAGTGAGAATCGTCGACTGATGTGACATGTTATTGTCCGCTCATCGACGAGACGTTCGACAAATCCTTCCCATCATTTCTTATTTTCTTACGGATTTTTTCTTACTATTATTAATTTATAGATACGTCGATCTGTTTACACTGCCAACGGATTATATGACGGACGAAGACGGAGCCTTCGTTACCTTTCACCCCTCACGTCTGATGGGACTTTTCGACATACTAAACACCGATAGCTTGGTAGACTTGATAAGTGGATTAGGAGCACCCAAGCAGAAGATCGTGATGACCTTGCCGGCCAATGCGTACAAATTCACTTTGAAGAACGAGGATGAAAACACTCCAAGATCAGGAACTACGGAGAAGGAGCCTGCGCCAATCGATCGTATACAGGTGCAATGTACTTACACTCACAAGAAAAAGGCATAATGGTGACAGCTACAAAAGTGACAGTTCTACAAATTTTATATGTAGAATTAATGTACACAGTTGAATAAACTATTTTATAGTTGCAATAACAAATTATACATTAGTTTATTCAACTATGTACATTCTACATATAAAATTTGTACAGCTGTCACCTTTACAATTGTCACCTCTACGTTTTTCTTTAAATGTACGATTTTAGCAACAAAAAAAAATTTATAAGTTCACTAACAATAAGTAAAGACTGCAAATCTATCCTCAAGCTAATCGATCTTTATCGCAGCTCTGCGAAGCCATAAACAGCGGGGAATGGACCGTGGAACGAGATGAAGATCTCACGGCGCCGTACGCATTTCAAAACAAAACGTGGATCGCTTTCGAAGATAAGATTTCAGTCGGAATAAAGGTGTGTACGCGGATTTCCCAGTTACTCACTCTACGTAAAAATCTAGTTGCGACGCCGTTGTTTGAGATTAAATAAAACGTCTTGCAGCACTTTCTTCTTATTTAGCTTTTATTAGAGCGATCAATCATGTTTTCGTCTGTATGGCAGAATTTATTTTAGGGGAAATACGCGTTGCTGCGAGACTTGGCGGGATTGGCGGTGCGAAATGTGGAGAACGACGTGGAGACCGAGTGTGAAGTACCGCTCACGCAAGAAATTTATTATTCCTTCACGGAGTTTAGGAGAAAATCGAGACAAGCCGTGCTCAGTGCACTCGAAGACGAGCTTCATGTGAGATTATTTTTACGTCGAATTACCGTTTCTACTTTTTCATGACAATTTATTGAAAATTTTCAGCAAATGCAATTTTCGTATCCTAATCACGCGAAAACGTCCAGCTTCCGCGTCGTTCGGGTGGTAGACACGGAGGGGCACATCAGAGCAGTGCGCGAAAACACGCAAACCGAGTTCGTTTGCAGACGGCAAGGCTACTTTGTCCATCCGAGGAGTTGTAATAGGTAGTTATACAGGGTGGATACTAAGTAATGTAAAAGATTTTAAGGAGTAATTTCTTATACAAATTCATTTTGAATTCTTTATATTATAATATGATATATCCGGAACGTCTTAATTTTAAAGATATAAAGTGTCAAAGTTAAAAAAAAATTTTGCTTAAATTTTTTTCTAAAAATTTTGGATACCATTCGAATTATTTTGATAAATGGTTCTTATTAAATTGATTAGCAATTTAATACGTAATAATACGGTCCTGTTTCAATCATGAGGGGTTGTGTTGAATCCAGAAGTAATGGTACGCAGTTTTCGAAACTAGAATACGTATGTAAAATCACATAATAAAATATTGAAGCACCAAGATCCTGGTATGACCGTGCATTGGCCTTTCTCATTCATTGTATTTTAATAAAGCTTTGTGTTTGTTTCAAGTTTTATCAATATAACTCGAACGGTTTTCGAAATTTTTGGAAAAAACAAAATATTTTTTTCAATTATTAAAAGAAAAATATCGTTTTTTTTTCAAAAATTTCCAAAACTCAGGTTATTTTGACGAAACTAGAAACATACACAAAGCTTCATTAAAATAGCCCGAGTGATTTTTGGAAAAAAGCGAAATTTTTCCTTCAACTTTGATATTCTGCATCTTTAAAACTAATTCGTTTCACAGATATATGGTCATATGAAGTTTTCGTTTTAAATTTGTGTGAAAGGTTATCCCTTAAAATCTTTTACATTGCTATATAACTAACAACGACAATAATCATTTAAGCTGATTAAACTGGAAAGATCACGTTACTAAATTCGGATCAATGTATTTGTAAATAATGTTCTTTCACAGATTCTATCGCTGCGTGAAATTCAATCAAGAAATAGAAGATTATTCCGTTTTCGAATTCGATTGTCCAGCTGGACTGTCGTTTGATGAGAGCACGGAGGTTTGTGTTTGGCCAGGCTCATTGCCCGAGGGCTCACCTTGTCCCGGTAGCAGCGAGATTGCTCCTGTCACCCCGAAGAGATTTGAATGTTCTCAACCCGGCTATTACGCGGATCCGCAAAATTGCCGTTGGTTCTTCGCCTGCATGGACTTAGGTGTGCTACAATTCATGCGTAATGAATAATTCATGCATTTATACACAGACCTTATGTATTATTCAAAATCGCTAAAGAAAGCGTTATAATTGCAGATATTACATAATCCTGCCGTATTACATAATCCTCATCGTTGCAACATTTATGCAGCATTTTTTTAAATTCAAATTCGTTATACGCGCACAAAATAAATTTTTATACAAATTTTATTATATTAATATTGACAGGTGGAGAGGAGCTGATGGCGTTTGAGTTTCGTTGTCCGTACGGCTTGGTGTTCGACGAGAAAAAGCTCGTGTGCGAGTGGCCTTGGCTGGTTCCAGCGTGCTCGGGATCCGGGTCAGGTTACACCAGAACGGAATATAACTACGGGGGCTACACCGCGGGAGCCTCTAGCAGCGTTGGAGTTGGTGGTTATGTTAACAGTGGTTTACCGGAATACTCCGTCACGGCGGGAATGGATTATTCCAACGTGGACTACTCTACCGGTGCCGGTGTCCAAGGAACAGGTTATTTCGGATCCACCACAGGAGATACCGATAAACATCCTGGTATCTCAATTTCCGGCGCTGGACATGTAGGACTAGGTCAAGTCGGTACCGATTACTCTAAATCCACCGAATACAGAGGAGCAGTAACTTCTGTTCCGACGTACAGTGGATCATCCGGTATACAGTTTGGCTCGGTACCATCTAGTACGTTCGTCGTGGGAGAAGGTGGCACGGGATATTCTACAGCGAGCAGTAAAATTGACGATACTGGATATACCGTATCTACTGGTCAAGATAGATACTCCGCATCTACTGGTGGATTTAATACTGGATTTACACACGCGGGAGGAATTACTGCGGATTTTCCCGGATCTACGACAAGAGAGTACTCCGGAACTGCTAGTGGAAGTCACTTGACGGAGCAAGGTGTAACTTATTCGGGAAGACCTCCAGTCTCAAGCTATCCTAGTTCGGCACCAAGTGGCTATACAGGAAGCGTCAGTACAAGTAGTCCGATAACAGATACAAGTTATTCGAGAACTTCGGGAGATTACTTCGGATCCACTTCAGGATCACCTGGTTCATCCATTGGTGTCCATAGAGAATCTACTAGTCCTAGATATGGTGGGTCGACAAATGTATACTCAGGATCTAGCACGTTTAATGCCAATGATTACTCGGCTTCTACCGGTGTTTATTCAGAAGCAACCGGACGTCAGCCAACGTTCGGCGTAACCGGCCCGTCATTCGGATCTGTGTCTTATCCCGGAGCTAGCGGCAATATTGAAATCACAGGATCGACTGCAACAGCATACGGAGGCTCAAGTCCATATAGTACAACGGGCATAGGTCGAATCCCAGGAACTGACTTCGTTAGCGGCGTTCCGAAATCCGAACTGGAAACTTCAAGAATTTCTACTGTCTCCGGACGTGTGACTTCTAGACCAACAAGCGTCTCTTCGACAACAGGCTATAGATATGGCAATGAGGATGGATATACAATTCCTGTATTCGTACAACACGAAGAACCCTCAATTTATCCCTCCATTGGAACAACAAGAGGCGGAACGACTGGACCGAGCGGAATCGGTTTAACAAGTGGCTACGGAAAAACTAATTTAAACATAAGTATTTTTGGGAATGAGATTCCTACCGGTTACGACATACAGAGAGGCACCACTGGTGCCATTCAAACTGGGAGTAGCGTAGATGGCAGTATTATTATCGGTGACTCCTTTTCGGGGACCACATTTAGTCACGGAAATGTTCCTGGAGCGGTGTCAACTTCTGCCGTTAACCAGGGCACTATCTTGACCGGAGGTATAAGACCTGGGTACGTCGCCACCTCTTCCGGGACACCCGGTTATGCGATCAGCGATGGCGTGAAGACTGTAGAAATCGGTTCAGCTAGTCCGGGAACTCTGCTATACGGAACGCCGAGTCCTGCGATTTCAATAAGCGGTCCTTCGACAGCCGGTGTTCTTTTGAAAGGTGACTCTATCCCAAGCAGTGCTATCTTTGGACAAACTGCTCCTGGAGTGTCTATAGGAGGTTCCATTCAACCGGGTTCGACAATTGAGAGCTCGACCCGTAGATATGAGTCACAATCAACTTATCACGGCATCAGCGGTGCCACAGATTCAATTACCTATTCGAGTAGCACTCCAAGGGAAGGCCTGACACCTACAACTCCTCAAGGCTACAGAACTGACGGTTCGTCCGTCACTTTTACTTCACCAGGCTATTCCTCGACAGCTGCACCGGGTGGTCGCATCACCGTTCAGTCAGCTACTTCCGGCTATTCATATCCTAAGCCGGCCGTTCAATTCGGAACTAGCACCGTCACGTTCAACGCCGATACTAGCAAGTATACAGAGAACGATATTCCAGATTACAGGCCAACCAGCGCTATTCTTCCCGAATCATTTGTACCTGGAGGTAGAATAGAAGACACCAGGGGTGGTATTTTTGGTTCTACTTTTGAAGGCTCAACTACTCCAGGATACTCCTCTAGTAAATCGGCCGTTTTTACACCAAGTGGATTCACAAAGACTGGTCCAACTAGGACGGGTATAACCACAGCTGTCCTCGGAGGTGGCGGTAGCTACTCGATAAGCCCGAGTGATCGTCGGCCTACTTACAGTCCCGACAATATCAGCGAGAAGGCATTCGAGGGAAATGTCGCTGGGTATACCAAGACATCGTTTACTGACGGTCCGTCTGTCACTTTTACTCCACCAGGCTATTCCTCGACAGCTGCATCGGGTGGTCGCATCACCGTTCAGTCAGCTACTTCCGGCTATTCATATCCTAAGCCGGCCGTTCAATTCGGAACTAGCACCGTCACGTTCAACGCCGATACTAGCAAGTATACAGAGAACGATATTCCAGATTACAGGCCAACCAGCGCTATTCTTCCCGAATCATTTGTACCTGGAGGTAGAATAGAAGACACCAGGGGTGGTATTTTTGGTTCTACTTTTGAAGGCTCAACTACTCCAGGATACTCCTCTAGTAAATCGGCCGTTTTTACACCAAGTGGATTTACAAAGACTGGTCCAACTAGGACGGGTATAACCACAGCTGTCCTCGGAGGTGGCGGTAGCTACTCGATAAGCCCAAGTGATCGTCGGCCTACTTACAGTCCCGACAATATCAGCGAGAAGGCATTCGAGGGAAATGTCGCTGGGTATACCAAGACATCGTTTACTGACGGTCCGTCTGTCACTTTTACTCCACCAGGCTATTCCTCGGCAGCTGCATCGGGTGGTCGCGTCACCGTTCAATCAGCTACTTCCGGTTACTCGTATCCTAAGCCAGCCGTTCAATTCGGAACTAGCGGCGCCACATTCTCCTCGACACCAATTGCGCCGACTGGAAATGATTTACCAGTCACGACATCGAGACCGTTCTTCGGCCGCTTACCAACGTCATCAGTCAGGCCCGTAATTTACACTACTGAACAACCAGAGATTTACGAAACAACTTCTTTTGAATCGAATAAAATTCCGGTGGCTGTGTCGTCCGTCAGACCTGTAACCGAATACAAAACTGATGACCGATTTAGCCAAAGGACGGGCAGTCCTGCATCAGTATCCACGTCTAGCATCGGTTTAGGAGTCTCTTTTCAACGAACCGATTTGAATGGCCCGACAGGCTATAGCTCTTCATTAGGATACCTCCCGCCAAAGCCAACAGAGGCTGGCGTGGTTGTGTCCACCACAAAGTATGATGAATCTACGGTAACCGCGCGACCAGAGTTCGGAGTAACATACAAAAGACCTTCACCGGTCCCCGACGTTACGTACGGAGGTCCTTCCTCGTTTCATACGCCCACCACATACAGGCCTTCCTACTATCCCGGTCAAGGATTTTCGTCCACTCCATCTTTCCTAGAAACAACCCTTAGCGGCGGCTCGCCGACAAACCTGGGTATTTCAAGAGATAAGATCGACAAGTTAATTACAAACTACGACAGGGGTACCGTCAAGTACACGCCAAACATATACGACACTTATTCGAGCTCAGGATTCGGTTCAACCTCAACCAAGAAATTTACTTCATCATCGTCTTTCACGAAGTCACCATTCTTCCCGAAGACCGACAGTGGCTTGGGTTTCACAACGCCATCCGGCATTCGCCCTTCGACATTTTCATACGAAGTTACCACAAAGTCGCCCGAAGGCAAGGACAAAGTTATCATAAAGTGGAGCGATCTTCATCCACTTCTTCTGAGCAAACTCGGAGCAGAATGCACATGCAAGGCCGATCCCTTTGCCAATCTTCGTGGCCCGGTAAGGAAGCTGATTGACTCTTCCAAAGGCAAGGTGGATTTGGTTAACTATGACTCTTCTGAAATCTACGTCGATTTTGGTTCCGCTGAAAAGGACGACTATTCCACCAATTATGACAGTTTTCCAGCCCAGCCGTTTAAGATTAGCGGTCCATATGAAGAAACGGGTACTATTTCAACCAATTTGCCATCATCCTCTTACTTACCTGCGGCAGATGCCAGAACACCCGCGAGAAGTAACGAGTTCCATTCGGGTCGAAAGGGCAAGAAATTGGAGTACGAAGACGAAAAAGAAGAGGAAGAAAAAGATGAATATTATGAGGATGATCCTGATCAGATAATTAACGGTGTCACCGATTGCGCTAGGCCAGGCCTCTTCAGGCATCCCGCCCTTTGCAATAAATTCTACGCTTGCCACTGGGATCAATGGAAGAAGAAATTCACGCTTCACATCTTTAATTGTCCGGTTCACTTAACGTTTGATTCAAACGCGGGCGCGTGCAACTGGCCCAGCAAGGGACCAGCTTGCCAAGCCAACAATTTATTAGTGTAAATGCGTTATTTTAGATTTTTATTATCGGTCAATCAGCGTTCTCTTTACATGCTTATGGTATTTCTTCTAAAATTCTTTTGTACATAACGAATAGAAGAAGTCAAAGTCTAATTGTACATTTTAAAATCACTTTTTAGACCGCTTAATTTAGGTCGGAAGATCAATTCGCTATTACACAAGGAAACGTTGCAAGTGCAGTAGTACGTATGTCATTAAATATGCGAGCGATTGTTACTTTCACGTGGATTGGTCTCCCGGCCTTGGATTTCTTTTGGGACTTATCTTAACACCCAGATCCCCAAACGTTTGCATTGAATAGCATCTCGATAAATATCTCGCTAAAGTGAATCTCCTAGCATCGAAGAGGGAAGTCGTGGGAAGATGGAGATACTTGTTGAGACATGTAGGAAGAAGGCCAAATCCAAGGCGATCGAGGTGCAGGACTGCGAGACTGCAGGAAAGCGTCGTCAGAGTGAAAGTAGTCCATGCTCGTCGATCCAAATCGCACGGAAAACCATTTGAATATCAATGTTTCTATATTCTAAATTTATGTAAAAGGTATTTGAATGAATCATTATATTTGAAAGACATTCATTTATATCTCGATGTATCTTAATAATGATAATCATATATCAGCGGTACGTTTTTCTGTAATAAAATTAACAGGGCATGAAAACAATTTTAAGATTACAAATAAATAATAATTCTTGCTCTTTATTTAATTTTAAAAACATTTTTAAATGTCACTTATTGTATAAAAATTTTGGAAATTTGTTATAGATAACAAGTGTTTCCTGCCGCGGGTGGCCTTTCGCCATTTTATCTGGCGTAACGATATCGATAACGCGTGCTGCACGACTAATATTCTTCCTGATCGAGTTCGCACTTTCCTTTCCGGGTGCCTACAACTTCCTGGCCTTTCCGAGATAATTGTCGAAATGTTTTTTATTATATACTACACGCTTGTCTTGATTTTCCGTTTCTTACTTTATATATCTTTCGTATTCCCGCAAAATGCATATAATTTATTCGTCACTTATAAAGAAAATATAGCGATAATGTCAACATCTACTCTTTCTATGGTTCTGACAGCACTTTAATTACCGTGCCATTTGTTAAGCGGTTAATTGAGTACTGTTACGAATTTATAAATAATAAATTGCGTGACCAAGATACATCTCTATTTATTAGCAAGCTGACCTTTATCGTCCTATTTAAATATTGCAATTTTAATGAAAATGTCACAAGCCGTTAATGTATGATATTAAAAAATTAATATAAACAAAATATATATTAGAAAATATTAGTAATAGCAAATTCTAAAAAAGATATTTTAAAAATCATGTTACATTTTTTTCTTTACAAAGAATTGTATACGTTTGTATTTCTTTACTTCTAAACTTTTCCAACTCGACAATTAAGTAATTAAATGTTGTTTTAAAAGAATTAAGAAATTGATTCTGTTACATTTATTTTTCAAAATTTATCGATCGTATTCCGTTCCATTTAAACCGCTCGTATCAGAGGAAAAAAAACGTACGATACTTCTTTATTCTCGAAACTTGCTTTCCTCTCGCTGATGATGGTGGGAAGCTGTCACTCTGTCACTACTAGCTAGCTAACTTGCCAATCGGCAGCTGGAGAGGGGACTGGCGATTACCAATCAGTGAGAAAGAGAGCACTTGTCGCGGTGGAACGAGACGCAAAATAAAAGAAAAGGCTGGTGCCGACGCGCGATTCACTAGTTCGGGCTAGGAGGTGATATAAAGGCGTACAGAGGTCTGAATCGATCTGATTTGTCCGTAACATCAACTGAGCGACCAACCTGATAGCGGAAAATCCGTCGCTGCCACACCACATTTTACCATCATGTAAGTCCATTGTCTATTTTACTGTTATATGTCTTAAAAAATTATTGTTCTCCGTCAGCTTTGTTAGGCATCAATTGTAGTATTGCTCTTTTACGTTGTAACGAACGTATATACTTTTCGATGATGTAATGTTGAAATCAATCTTATTCTCTTAGGTCTACATACATAAGCCAATTTTAAATTATAATTTAAATTTTTCAGCTTTTTAATGTTTAGAGACAAGTATAATTTTTGAAAAATTTTCAAATAAAGATAAATAAAGATTAAGTTTTAGAAATTAATTAAATTTGCCTCTGTCTCATCATTTTTCATAATTATAAATATAATTAAATAATATGATAAAACATTTTATTACTTATTTCTGTAGCAAAAGACAAATTTATTTAATAAACACAGCACAATTTAATTTACGTGGAAAGCTGTTAAAGAGATTTGCAATAACAATACGATAGGAATGCAAATCAGTCTTTGTTCACATTACATAAGTGCTGAAAATAAAAATACGATAATCGTCGACCTTGCAACTGGCTTCACTTTGCATTCCCGATGGCTAATAAATCAAAATACAAATGATCTCTCTACATTACTAGAGGTTTAAGTTTTTCCAATAGATTGTAATCACGTTGTTGAAAGGCAAGTTCAAAGTATGACTGCGCAGTGCGTTTCGCTCTGATAATCAATAACTTGACTTTTAGCTTCAATCGCGCGTATCAGTTAGTATATTTCGCTTTCTTTTAGTGAAAGTCGATCTGCTTCATATTATGGAACATTTTTATATCTTATCCGATTATATCCGAAAAATATTAAATTATTGCAGTACTAAATATTAAAAATTAAATTCAAATAGATACTATTTATAATACCAAAATTTGAATATTTGACTTGTAATTATAAGTAAATATGATAAAAGCAATCTAAATCTTATATTACAAATAATTATTTATGAAAATTTTCATATAAAAGTAAAGCATTTAAATTTTTTGTATGTAAAAAAATTGTTAACTAATTTCTAATATTATTATTATATATTATATATTTTTATTATTAAAATATTTCACAAAACAATTATAAAAAATTGTTTATACTTTAATAATTTAGTATTTGTTCGAGCATTAATAACAACAATTTCTTTCTCTCTCTCTTTGATAGCATCTATAAATAGAGATTGTATAAAAAAATAGAGAATAAAAAGATTTGCAATAATTTGATAAAGCGAGAAAGGAGAGAGAGAGGGAAAAAGAAAAGATGCATGCAAAGGAGAGGACGAGTCTGGAGACTCGGTTGAGAAGTATAGCCGCGAGCAGTGAAAGTAGCGCAAACCACCGACTGAACTTTACCGAGAATGGTCACATTGGCGATTAAACGTCAGCCAAGCCGAGAAAAAGAAGCGATACGAGCGCAAAAAATTCCTTTGCACGCCCACGTGACGTATTGCATAATAACGTGTTGCCGCCTCGTCCACATTGATTCGCTAATTCACAATATCGCTTTTTTCGCGTAATTTAAAACGGTGATCAGACTTTTTTCACCTTGGATTTATTTGTTGAGTGATACAACTATGTTATTCAACAACTAATAAATTTGTACTATTTTCATAAAAAAATGAATGAGACTTTTTTTCTAGCAAGTTACATAGTTTGCTTTGACATAAGTTCTCTTCAAGTTTACTTTTTATATTAATTTGGAATTTAACCAGAAGCAAGAAATTTAATCGTGAAATTTAACAAGTTGTTAAGAACATGACATATAAAATGTTATATATAGAGATTAATTTAATTATTTATTAATATTATTAGTAGTATTTATTAGAATAATTTAGTTATTTATTAGTAGTATTTATTAGTATAATTAGTATAGTTATTAAAGAAAAATTAATCACGTACACGTGCAACTTCCTTAAAAATTTTTAGAATTTACAAGAATTTATTTCTTATTATTCATACGTTGTGTATAGAAAGTCTTTGCTGATTAATATACATTCGTTCGTTTGTATGAATAGGGTGGTGTGGGCGGTGCTGATATTGGCAGCGGTCGCGTTGACCAACGCAGCGGTACCAGATCCACCGGAAAATTCTGGCATCACCACAATCGGCTCCAAAAAATTGGCGACTGCCGCCGACTGTGCCGGACTTGTCGCCTTCTCTGCCACCCAAGGATCGGTAAATGTGAGTAAATAGCATAATTACAATAATAACTAATTGTAAGTATATAATAATAATAATTTTAAATTAGGTAATAAAAATTACATCGGCCAACTAGGATTCGATTTCACTTGGGCTCGATTGCACCAACGTTATTTTGACTTTAAGCAAAGCTTAAAACTCTGTCTTTCTTTAAAACCTTAAGAGAAAGTTTTAAGCATCGCTTAAAGTTAAAATAACGTTGGTGCAATCAGTCTCAATTCAAAGAAATAAATATCAATTAATTTTATAATAACAAAAGAATTTTGATTTCAAGAATTTCAAGTAATGATGTATACGTGTATAAATATATACAGGAAGCTAAGCTCATCCTCGCCGAGACGCTAGTGGACAAAGGGGTCGGTTACGCGGCGCAGACAGGTATTTTCACCACGCATTGTCCAGGCCTCTACCAATTCAGCTTCGCCGGATACGGTAGCACGGATCTGCGGCTGACACTGAAACGCAAGCTAAATAAATCCGACAGTTGGAGACCGATTATCAGCGCTGGGCCAGGCGGAGGAAGCAACCTGGTCCTATTGGACGTCGAAGCCGGCGATCAACTTGCCGTCTTCGTCGAATCCGGGAAGATAACCGACGGAGCCAGCTTCACGGGTCACCGTGTTTATAAAAGATAAGCTGGATCATTGAACAACAATCTTGGACAAATTCAGGATACCGATTACATTACTAGAGAAACAAAATTGATATGTTGTTATAAACTAAAACTCAGTCTAAAAAGATACTTGATATATCAAAGTTGAAAATATTTAACCCAAAATTTTGAATTATCATTTCCAGTTTCAAAAAGATACGTTTAACAAGAAAAAAAATTATTAAAAATTCGTTATGAAGTTTTGAATTTTATAATTCATTTATCTTTTGATTAGTAATATTTTAATTGGATTTCTTTTAAAGTTATGAAATATTATCTAATTATTAAATACTAAAACATAATATAAGGTCATCACTCTTAGATTGAGAAATCGCCAAAGTGTTATTAAATGCATTTAAAAGCATCCACAAAAAAAAAAGGAAAAAAGGATTCAAATGCTTTTGCAAAATTCAAGTTTTTTTTTCTACAAGTTTTCTTGTGTGCTGAAATAGAGTTCCTAATTCGTAGTTCTAAAACTTCTCAATGAACTTAACATTCTGTGATAGCTATTTCTTCTTAATAAGTCTAAAATTTCATTAATTTTACAATTTCTTTAAGTAGAATGATAAACTAATTATTTCGTAAACCAACACGAACTTCTCCGGTTTCCAGCTTTCGCTTTGCATTTCTTCCGGTTCACTTTCTAGCATTTTTTGTTCGCATTAACTTTCCCCTCGTCTTTTGGTTCATTTTCTTCGACATTTTATCGCTTCCTTATTTTCTTCGCTACGATAACGCAATTAAGGAACAACTTTCTCCGTTAAAAATTTACGTGTTCCTCTTTCTCTAGATTTCCTTTATTACATTTATATTTTTTCTATCATCTTTATCATGTCTTCCGTTTTTCTCTTCTGCTATTTTCCTATTTCCTTTCGCTCAGTTTCCGCTTCTACTTCTTTGCCTTCCTCATCATTTTTCATCATTTCTTTATCTTTATAAAAATTTCTTTATTTCTATTTCATATATTTCTTCTTCATATATCTTCTTTGTTCTGCTTTCTTTTATTTTCTCTGGAGTAATCTTTCCATCTATCTATTGTATCTCTATTAAGCTTTTAGTCACAATTTTCAACTCTTTTATTTCGCCATATTACGCTCTTATTATCTTTGAAAATGTTTATCTTTTTTCTTATCATTTTTCTATAATGTTTTGACCTATCCTTTTCCTTTCATCTCTTTATTGGAATTTTTTTACGCTTTTTATCGAATTTATCGATATTTTCTACTGTTATTATCTCTAATTTCATTATTTCCATTACTTTCATTATCTTTCATTTTTGCCATCGTTTTCTCTTTTGAATCTATTTTCTCATTTATTTCTTATTGTTTCTTCATTTTCTTCTAGTCTTCTTTTTTCTAAAAAAATAGGTACATTATACCTTTTTTTTTGAACTTTTGAACTTTTTTCACTCATTATTCGTCTGCCTTTATTTTTCTTCTTATAATTTTGATATATTTTTTTAATTTTAGAATATTTTCTTTTATTTTGAATTCTATTTCTAATCTAGTCTACATACATGGCTTTTGCTCAATCTCTCTTTACATCTCTATCTACTTATCTGTCTGTCCATTTATCTGTGCATCTATTAGTCTATCTATTATCTATATCTTTCGTTCTATTTCTATTGTATATAAATAATTATAATCGCTTGCTATCACAGCAGTTACGTCGGAGAGAAGACTTGTAAAATTGGCAGAAAGTGAAAAAAAGAAAAGAGAGATTGCGGCATCAATGATAAAGCAAAAGAAATACCGATTGACAACGAAAAACGCGTGCGCGTGCGCATCTGCGACAAACAGTGCGAATTATTTTTTTCTGTACTTTTATTAAACTTATTCAATATTATAAGAAACGTTAACGTGATGAATAAAGTTGTGCACATGTTTTTTATGATCAACAAAATTTCAATTATATTTTTAACCCTAAACGATAACCCAACGTCGCAAACAGACTTCTTTGGAAGGAGCATGAAGAGATTTTCATAATATAATCAAATATTCAGTTCAACTTTTCCGCTTTCCAAGCCCTGGTAGTTTTTAAGCACGGGATACACCTCCTCTTCGAGGAATTCGACCACCTGCTCTGGCGCTCTACCAACGAAGGTCGATGGGTCTAGTAGAGTGTCCAGTTGAGACAAAATCGGCGTGAAGTACGGATCTCTCCTGATCCTATCAACCAGATCATTATCCAACCCATGTTGTTTCACTTGCGCTCCAGCTTCTTGCGATAACACGCGGATCTTCTCGTGGCAAACCTAAAGCAAATTCATAAAAGTGACGTAGAATTAATTACCTAATACCTACAAAATATTCTTTAAACTATTTGAAGTTACAGAGAATTGCGTTAAACGATTTATTATAAAATTGAAGTAAATTAGAGAAGTAGATTAGAAGTATGCGAATAGTTCGAATTCGAATCGAATCGAATCGAATCACAGTGGATTCGATTCGAGTTCGTTTTCGAATCTCATCGAATCTCAATGTCAGATTCGAAATCGAATAGTTCGAGTATTTCAAATCAACAATGTTTCGATTTCAAATCGATCGCCTATTTTATTTGCTTCATTTATATCTCCCGCGTGATCAATTATTCTTATCTAATAAATAAGTATTTTTGATGTATGTAATGTATTCATGTAGATTAATATAGAAAATAATCGAAAGCATTCGAGCTATTCGTGTATACACATATTATTAATTACATATTTTCTAGTTCAAAATATCACATAAGATCATGATCCTTTGTATGAGATGTAAATTGAAAACAGGTCTTCAGTTTGTTTAAATCATTGCATAAAAGAATGTAATTCATAAATTTTCATATTTATTACATTTAAATTAATATGTAATGTAAATCTGGGAAATTTTTGATTTCAGATTCGATTCGATTCAATTTCGAACATATCATCCAAAATTCGATTCGATTCGATTCGACCATGCAAATGTTTGATTCGCACATCACTAGTAAAGATCGAGATTTTGCACTTTGATAGATTGATTAAATCAACTACTTACAATTCGATATTAACGCCTAAACATTTTTGTTAAAAAAAATAATGTAAATTACTAAAAAAATATCTAATAAAGAGTACTTCGTACTTGTCTGTCGCCACCGGCCTTCACCATGGCCATGATCACATTCTCCGCAGACATGAAAGGCAACTCCTGCGCCACGTGTCTGGCGATGACCTTGGGATAAACGACTAGTCCCTCGGTGATGTTCTGGAGAGTCATCAGGATCGAGTCGGCCGACAGGTAGGCTTCCGCTAAGGCGAGCCGGCGATTCGCCGAGTCGTCCAGCGTTCGCTCCATCCACTGAGTCGCTGCGGTATGAAGGGTGTTGTTCACGAGAACCATCAGGTGACGTGCCACGCTGCAACATCTCTCGGAGCGCATTGGGTTTCGCTTGTAGGGCATTGCGCTGGATCCTATTTGCGTGCTTTCAAAGGGCTCCTCGATCTCTTTCATGTTGGCAAGAAGACGAATGTCCGTACAAATCTATTAGAAAAGCGAAAAATTAATTCGACATCCCATAGTGGAAGAACAGATAAATCTTTAATGATGGATCTCTTTAAATCTTTCACGACTGTGTGTGGCTGTCACTTGGATGCAAGTGCATCAATTCAAGAGCTCACCTTGTGAACTGTCGCACCGAGTGAGCTCAAAACGTTCAAACATTCGATGTCGACTTTTCTGCTGTAGGTCTGTCCGGTGACGGTGTAATGCTTTTCGAAACCAGCCATCTTAGTCACGAGTGCGTCCAATTGCTTCACCTTTTCCCCATCACCTGTTGTAAAATTTCAATAATTATTATACAATTATATTACACAATATTAATTATTATACAATAATGCAATAATTATTAAAATTTGAAAATTATCATCTACACAAATTATGTTTATTTCTTACTTCTTATAATTTACTTCTTATATAGTTCTTATATCTTCTATGGTTTATTTCTTATAATTTTAGGATCACATCTAATTGTCATATATATTTGTATTATCTTCCTAAATAACAATTTTTCTTAAAATTCTTCTTATAATTTTTCAGAATTTCTAATAAATTGCAGAATTTTTAACAATTTCTATAACATAATAAATAAATATATAAATTTTATAATTTTCTATAGAAAATTTTTCAGATTTTTTATATAAATTATAATACTTTTTTTAAAAATACTTAAAAAGTCTAATGCTTAGACCTTTTCTAGAATTTGTATATGTGAATTCTGAAATATTATAAGATTTCTCACTATAATTTCCGGAGACAATTTTTAAAATCTGAGGAAGTTGAAGATATTAAGATTTCTTTTTAAAATTTTTAATAAATATAAACAATTTTTTTGAATATTATAAGAATCCTTTTACCAGAATTTCTCTTTAAAATCAAATAAAAATTCTATAATTCCATACTTATTTCTAGAAACCATAGATTACTCTTTAATTAAGAGCTTTAATTAACATCGAAAAAATCTCGCTAAAAAATTATGCTTCGTGAGCTATTTTACATATTTCTCCTTGTGAAAATCAAAGGGTTGCAGATGGGAAGATTAAACGGACCAACGAACCGTTAAAGAGCTGAAGAAAAGACGCTTGGGTGCCGGTAGTGCCTTTAACTCCGCGGAATCTCAGATCATTTCTGGCGCGACGAATAGCCCTCTCGTCCATCAGCAAGTCCTGCAACCACAGCGTCGCCCTTTTGCCGACCGTCGTCAGTTGCGCGGGTTGAAGATGTGTGAAGCCCAAGGTAGGCAGATTGCGATTCTCATGGGCGAATTTCGCGAGGCGCTGGATTACGCCGGCTAGCTTCGGAAGCAATATGTCGAAGCCCTGGCGGAGTACCAGGAGGTCCTTCAAGAAGAAAGAAACAGCCTTTTATCGACAAATTAAACATAACTCCGACTATTTAATTAAGTCAAAATACACGCATAGATCTGAACGCGGTATGGTTATCACTAACTAAAACGCATATCTTGTTAATACCGAGATAAATGAAAAGGAATACTCTCGTGATAAAAGACGGAAGATATACCGTATTGTCGCCCACATAACAACTGGTCGCGCCAAGGTGGATGATAGGCGCAGCCCGGGGACACTGTTCACCGAATACGTGAACGTGCGCCATCACGTCGTGCCTCGTCGCCTTCTCCTCCCTGGCGGCGGCCTCGAAGTCAATGTCGTCCACATGAGCCTCCATTTCGACGATCTGTTCCGGCTTGATCGCCAGGCCGAGCGCCTGAAAAATCGTCATTGATCAACATTTCATTGGATGACGGCACCTAAAAAAAAAAATCCGCGCCGCTATTTCAGTTGCGAAAACGAAGAATTACAACGCGATAATTTTACGATGCGGCCGGTTTAAATTATCATTCAGATAAGATCGCGCATGTGCGGTTGTCCTACACGATTCTTATCCCCATTTCAACGTATTTCTCTGTATCATCTGATTAGATAAAGAGGGCTTGGTTCTGCTACGGAATCACTCAAACCCCGGCGCAAGTTTCACTTTGTTACGTACATTTTTCACGGCGAAAGGCGGGTGCCGAGAAGTCCGCAAGCATGGTGTCCCCGCAGACTATTGGGAGTATAGTGATCAAAGTGCTAAAGTTGGTGAGAAGATTGTATTTTGGTTTTTGCACTGTAATCGTGAAAAGTGTAGAGAGAAAAAGACAGAAAGGGAAAAAGAGAATGTCTCTCAGAATATCCCATAACGATATCTTCCTCTTATCAATTCGGAAATTCTTGGTATAAATCCAATGTACTATAGAATTTTGAACGGTCCAAAAGAACGGTTTTAGGAATTTTCAGTAATTAATTTACGGATAAAAATAATATCATCTTGGTTTTCAAATTTAATTTTTAATGAATATTTCTCAACGGGACTTTACCTCGAGATTTATTTGCATGCAGGCATTCTTCAAATTATTAATCAAATATTTATCAACAATTTTTTTTACCAAATTAAGCAGTCAACAAACTTCGCGATCAATTCGACAAACTTCTTCTTGGCTATATGAACCGTAAGAAGCGGGCATTTTTTTCTTGTGTACATAGAGATAATAGTTTGAGATTAAGAAATTTCAATAAAATATCAAGGAGAATAATAAAATATCAACGATGTAATAAAATTTCGGTGTAGAAAAGTAATTTAAATGTTGTGATCGGTAAATTGTCTAATTATGCGGTCAATGAATTCGATTGCGGATTGATCATAGAAAGGCGTCGACCCAAAGATCACCGTCATACACTCATTCAAGGGACATTCTTACGAGACGTATGAATCATTTTCATCGCCCTTATCGGCTTGCGATAACGTACGTTGTTTAGCAAGCGATACGCTACGCCGTTGCCGCTTTTAGTGCATGGAACTATAGAGTGTCCCAGAAAATCTCTCTCTATGATGATAATACGACTCCGTTAAATCTTGATACAGACTTCTTTCGATCAACTCTTTCGTAAAAATTTTCAGCATTAATCATTCAGTCTCAAAATACAAATTTTTTCTGTTCACATAAATATAGAACTACGTTCATTTAGAAAACGAGTTTTTTTTTATTACTCATATTAATTTTCTTACACGTTTCTAGCGTTTAAAAACGTTTATGTAATTAGAAGAGAAAATTTGAACTTGGACATTGCTTCATTATTACATAAGTTTCCACGGCATTCCTCTCGTTAGACATCCAAGCAAGATGTCTAACAAGCAGTCTGCCTGTAGATTCAAGCAGAATATTACGATCGGACGAATTGGCATCAACTGTACGTCCGCATTGAACTTGTATTCTATTAGCAAAGCCTGCGAACATAATCTGCCAGCAGTAGATTGACAACAGAAACACCACTCTCTGAAAGTGAATCAGTGACATCATCACTAATTTTCAGTGCATATTTATTTTTCAATGGCACACTTAAAACTGTGATAAACAATGACTATTTTAATGTTGTTTCAGTGATAATATATTGACTCAAACAATAAATATCACTGAAAGACAGTGAGTTTCACTATCAAATAGTTGTGAGAACTGAAATTCGCTGTCTTTCAGTGATATTCACTATTTGAATCAGTATAGTATCACAACATTAAAATAGTCACTGTTTTATCATAGTTCTACTTCTAACTATGTCACCGGAAAATTATATACACTGAAAATCAGTGATGATTCAACTTATTCATTTTTAGAGAGCAAGCAGAATCTGTTATTTCATTACCACTAAACAAAATTTGATATCCTAATAAAAAAAATTCTGATCATAATATATCTCATAATATTTTAAAAAAATTCTTATAGCTATATTTTAAACATCTTTGAAAAAATACCTTACATTTTTTTAAATTTTATAAATTTTTTTCAAAAATTATAGAATCTTAGGAGTCTTAGAATATTTCAGAACTTTCACACACATATGTGAAAAATTCTAGAAAAGATAAACTTTCTCAGTATTTCTGAAAAGTTATTTTGAATTTATATAAAAAAATCTGACAAATTTTCTAAAAAGTTCTACAATTATACAGAAATTTTGTAAAAATCTGAAATTTATAAATTGTACAAAAATTATATAAAGAATTCTAAGAAAAATTTTTAGCAAGGTAAATTCCATTTAGCCATAAAATGATAGATTCGGCTTTAGTTTCTGCTGTTAATCTGCCGTCGTATTCTATTAGCATCTGCATTCTATTAGCATCTGCATATTCTATTAGATTCTGCAATACACTTCTACTGGCAATTTGTCGATAAGTTTGTAACAGATACTTTGCCAAATTCATTTACGACTTGGTTATCTGTATGTATTTTTAAAATTTGCCGATTTGTCGCAGGTTCTCAACCTTATCATACTAATCCTGTATCGTACAGGATACGGTGGCGAGTTTCTAGGCGTCGGTGGAACCTGGAACTTGAACGAGGACAAAAATCCCGATGCCGAGATCGTCGCTTCCGGCGTATTCGTCGGATTCTTCATCTACACGAGCGTCATCCTCGTCAGCTACTGTTTTGGCAATTCCGATCACAAAAAGACTCTCGTTGTAAGTGTTTGCTCTTTTCACTTGACAGGGTGTGATGGACCTCGATCGAATAGTACATGTTAAACATGGTGAAAGTGAATGGTTTAGCATCACGTTTCTTAAGATGACATTCAATCTCGGAGATTCAGATTTATTTAAATGACATTTTTAATATAGAAACATGATAGAAGCGGTGTCTATTTGCAATTTATATAGACTTTCTATATAGATTTATATAGACTGCAGATAAATATCGAATTTCACACAGTCTCTCTTCGTTCAAAAAAACAGTATTAAATTGCAAAGTTCAACAACCTTAAAAAAATTTTGGAACAATTTGATCGGAACATATCTTTTTTATAGGAAATCATCATGAATTTCGTCGGGACTTTCATGTTCGTGGCTGTGGGTGGAACAGCTCTACATTACTGGCACGGTTATCAACCTGAACAGAAATTCATATACGATGCGCCAGAGAGGCAGGTAAGTCGAATCCCTAATTTAAGGTAAGAACCATAAAAAATAAATCATTAATAAATTAAAAGCTGTAGGTGTAAAATTCCAAACAGTTACAGTAAACGTGCATTTTTTTCCACAACTACGGAACATTCCAGCAAAATTACAGCAACGTTGCAACGTTTCAGCAATATTTCTGAAATATTGCTGGAATGTTCTATTATGAGATTAAAAAATGAATTTACTAAAGTCTATTTCACATAAAACATATAACATATAAATATCCCATTTTAATTTTTCCAATAATTTTGAAATCAGCGATTAATTGTATTAAATCAGAAACAAAATCAATAATTTCAGATCGGCTTGGCCGTGGGCTCGTTGTGCGTTTTAGAAGGCGCAGCATACCTGATGGACTTAATATTAAGCTTTCTTCAATACGCTAAGGCGGAATTTGAATAGGAAGGAATAGTATTACAAGATCAAATATCTTTTTGATAGACAATATTTACGAAAAATTTTCCATTTCATCAACGCCATCTCATGCTGTACAGTCGTGGATATGTCGGTTGCGACACTTTTTTTTTAATAAGTTTCGAAACGCACTAATATTTTACAAATCATGCGAACCACGATTGGTGTATGTATGTGGTGTATGTTACTGCTTCTAGATTAAAGATAGTAACACCATATGGTTCGAATTTGCAAAATATTAGTTACCTATAAAATATATATTTTATATATTAAGTATATAAAAACCTATGAAAAAAGAGTGCAGTCGCAACCGATATGTTCACGATTGTACAACTAACAATATATTCCCAGAAAAAAAGTTTCACATATTAAACTCTGTTACAATTAGATTACGTTCCGATGACTCCGAGTATATTGTTAGTCACGTTTCTGCACAGGAGTTTCTCTCTTCGCAGAAAACGCAAGTAACCTTGTCCTTCTTTGAGGAGAGACAAAGTTTTCCTCATTACACACTTTTATACATATTTATATTCATACGGATATATATATACGTCCCACTGAAAAAAACATGTAACGTATACGAAATAAAATTTATTACAAAATTTGTAATAAAATGGCTCAGAATATATGTATATTATTCATGTCATATACTTAAGGCATCATTCTAACGATATTCCTCACTTATCACTATTCGTGTCGCCGTATCGTCTTATGAATAGACATTAATTCAATGACTTTTCCTTTTTTAAGAAAGTTAATATTTTTAGGTATTCTCGCATTGCGACGCCTATGAAAATTTATTTCTCCTTGACATGTCTGGTACTTCTTTTTTTCCTCGCGTCTAACGACCGATAATACGTATCGGGCCATGTATCGGGCGATTATTATGCGCGTGTCCCCTTTGTTTAACGAAGGTGGAAACGAAAGAAATGCGAAGGAGGAAACGTAGAAAGTGTGACTAAAAATATATGACTCACACCCTTTTCGAAGCAAACGACTCCACCGTAATGTTCCACCGGATGATTTCATCATGGGGCCCTTTAAGATCCCTCCTCCCCCCCTTGCGTCGTGCGCGACCAATTAATCTACTTGACCTGGCGATCGTCGCGGGTGACCGGCACGATTACACACCCACCCACAGGGCAGCCGGGCACGAGTAATCCCGTTAATTACGGAGGTCACGCCTAATTTGACTAAAGTTATAAACTTAACATATAATAGGATAAATGTCTCTTGAACATAACTACTTACCGTGTAGGAAAAAGAAGGGGGGGGGGGGCAAAGATGCTTAAACCTTCAGCCTTAATCCAAGGTTGGAATATTTTATTCTTTAAAATAAATTGTGTTCTGCAGATATGTAATTACCGGGCATAATCGGATTGGAGAGAGAATTGAATTATTGTTTTAAATATTTTAAACAAAAGTTTGCGATTACACATGTCGAGTAAGTCCGACAATTTATAACGGAAGGGCACGCAAATAACTTTTATAGTGGTTTATGTAATTTTATATAATTTTTTTTGCTGCGATGCTCTTTAAATACTGTGCAATATTTTAGGAGTCGATTTTTGAGATCATTTTATAAAGAAAAGTTCATATGAATCTTCATATCTTCGAATATCTTCGTTTCAAAAATGAAGCTAATACTCTATACCTATTTGTTGAACCCTTTTCCTTGCCAAATTTGAAAAGAAAACTGTTCATTTAAAATAAAAAAAAAACAATTTTATAGAATATTCTACATCTTTGAAACCAGGCCTTAAAGATCATATAAAATTTCCTTCATAAAATAGTTTCAAGAAACAACTTCCAAAATATTGGACAGTACTTAAGAAAGTTTATATAATACTTTATATAATAATTACATTTATATACATAATAATTATAGAATTTCTAACATAACTTCTATCAAAATTCTTTTGCATCCCGCGAATAATGTCATGTTGTGATTTCTCGTTTTATCGTGATTAATTCTTGAATTACTTTTATTACTATTTTTTATTATTAAGACGGAAAATACGATCGAGTCTAAGAGTCATAAATCGTAGACTTCGTTCCTCTCTTCGAGTTTATATCCCGTACCGTTGCGAATCTTATTATTTGGTCTGAAGAACAAGTCAATATAAGAAAAAAAATACATTGTGCGTCGTAATATTGTCGTCGGGTTAAATTATTATAAGCGTTTGTATAACCGTCGAAAAGTAACTGCAATCGCGTACTCTTCGTAAATGTTTCATTGAGGACAAGTTACATTGGCATAGATACCCAGATAATCGCAATATATGGAAAGTAAGAGATTGTGCAGGGGACTCGTCGTATATACAACGTGCGGATCGATATCATGACGATTCGTTTCTGGCAATGTTAGTTAAAGCGAGTACAGCCTACAATGTATATAGCTGCAAGTCGAAGCCGTGTATTCTCTCTTACTTAGTAATAAGCTTCTTCTTTTATAGACATTGCAAAAACCGGCAGACGAGAGAAAAATCAATTTGCGAAAGTGTACAAGATGATTTCAATTTTAAACCAAAAGTTGATTTAAATTGATTTAAACCAATTCTAAAATTAATTACTTTTTCTTAGCATTTCACCTTTAGCGTGTGTATAACATTCTTGAGATATTAATTTTTTTTGAATAAACTAATTTTTATACGTAAAAATATTGATCAACTATGACGACAATTTAAATATTTTATTCTTTAAAATAAATTGTGTTCCGGATTACATAATTACCGGGTATAATTAAAGAGAGAATTGAATCATCCGTTTTAAATATTTTAAATAAAAGCGATTACACATGTCGAGTAAATCCTACAATTTATAACGGAAATGATGCACACAAGAGCCATACTTGCGATGTGATTAAATATTGCGCATTAAAAACCACAATAACATCAACGTTTCTCAATTATTGCGCATGCCAATCATATCTCATATACAGTTGCGAGATTCTACTTGTTAGCGCGCTGTACTAATTAAAGAGTCTATCAATTATAATCCAGCAGAATAGTCTAGTAATCCGGATTGTTTACTAATCTAGCAAGTTAAAAATAAAATCGCGTAATTATGCGAGGCGCATAACAAGCGCGCGTTCGCGTGTAATGCGATATCGCGAGACTTTTTGCATTGCACGGGCTCGCCGGGTAGGCTGCAGCCCGGTCGCGGAATTACGACGTGTCCTTGCACCGCGCCGCAACGTCAAAATAACATCATGAAATAGGATCGAGGTGCGTTTCCAGCGAAGGAAGTCACTCTCGCGGAAATTCATTGTGAATTTTTATAGCTCCCGACTGCATTTACTGTCGCGTGCAGCAGCTTTTCGATAATGTCGCGAGTAATGAGTATGGTCAGTTACGCGGAGAGTATAAAAAAATGTACAGCAAGACTAGAATAATAAAAATCACGACGAGTATCAACATGAAGAATATTTCGAAGATCGGAAGAAAAGAAACTGACACGGAAGATTGTTTAGGTTTAACGACCGCGATTATTTCATATTTCGTTTCTTCCAGTTACAAGCTGGAAGAAATTCGTTGATATTTCGTTAAACGTCAAATTATTATGTAATCAAGGAGTTTCCGTTCTCTTTTTTTTATATTAATACCGTGAGTAATGAGTATGGTCAGTTACGCGGAGAGTAAAAAATATATAGCAAGGCTAGAATAATAAAATTCACAAGTATCAACATAAAGAATATTTCGAAGATCAGAAAAACAGAAACAGGTACAGAAGATTGTTTAGGTATAACAAACGCGATTATTTCGTACTTCGTTTCTTCCAGCTTCAAGCTGGAAGAAATTCGTTGACATTTTTTTTAAACAAATTATTATATATAATTAAGGAGTTTGTTCTCTTTTTTTATATTAATATACTTTATCGTTTTTTTTTTTCATTAAATCATTAAATCAGCTTGCTGGAGCACAGGAAGCTGGAACGAAGATTTCCTCGACGCGCGTCTGACTTATTAATGACGCGCCGTCATTTAAGGACGCACGCTCAATCGGTGACATAACAGGGCGTGCACGCGAAGAAAATACTTCGCGCGCGTCCGTGACACATTGGCAAATATTTAGACAGGCAAAAACCCGGCCGGAAACGCGCTGGGCGATGTCAAACGCTACCATGCGTGAAAAAGTCCCGACCTCGTTGAGTTTTCTTCGCCGAATAACGGCGTCTCAGAGAGGTGTGACATTCCTTCATTAATCTATTTTGTGTCTCGGCGGGTTAAAAATAATGGCGAACTGAGAGGGAGGGAGAGAGAGGAGAAAGGACCGGACGCGACGGCTAATGTTGACGATATTTTTGTCGAAAGTTGCCGCGGTGATCTTCGGCGAGCGAGGCGAGCGAAAGCTATAAGCGCGTCGCCGCGAAACGGTGCCTTATAGTATCAAAACGTCGATTCCTATCGGCAACCGCACGCCCAAGGCGCGTGCGACCTGCTCGTATAAGAGTCGTAAGCGTGGGACTCGTGAAGTCGCGTACTTCGCCTGCGCGCGCGCGCGCGCGGGGGACTCGTAACTCGTAAAGTGTCGCGTATCGCCGCGCGCGTACGCGGGCTGTATACGCCGCGTATACGTTCTCCGCGTTTCAGTTCGAGCTGCACTGCCGCACGGCGCGGGCACGTTTCTGTATGACGCACGCGTCGCGACGCGCAACAGTAACTACTAGTAGTGTGTATGCGCGCGCGTTATTAGACTCGCCTCCGGCAATAATCGGCCGCGTTTGAAGAGTGAAGAAGTGCGTTTCTTGGACTGCTTCTCGGACTCTGAAAGAGCAGGAAGAAGGGAACCGCTGCGACGAGATCCACCACGGGATCTTCGCTCTTACACGAAGTTCCCCTGGTGTTCCTCGTGGCGGACACTCTCGGAGTCGCGGCGGCATACGCGGAGTCGAAGTGAAATCGAGTCGAGTTTCGCTGGCGAAGCGATAGAAGGTGACGGTGCACGTGGACGGGAGCGCGTGTCAGGTGAATCAATGGGCGCGAGTATTTGTTATTCACCTTGTATATACCTGCTGCTTTGAGACCTATTTAGATACAACCGAGTTCCAGCCGCGACGGCAGCAACTCTCGTGATGTAACTCCGTATTCATTCTCGTAAAAAAAAAAAATAGACGAGAATCCATTTTCCGAAGTTACGAAACACGTCGAACATAGGCATGAATATATGTCGTATTAATACTGCATTTATTTTGTTCTTTTACAACGGAAGTTAATTTGAAAAAGATTTCTTCTTTAGGCCCATTTTCATAATATATGATTAACGAAAAGATTAGGTTAACTAAAACTTGAAAGTTGACTAAAACACACTTTCATAAGCTTATAGTCAAGTAAACTAAAGGTTACGTGTACATCAGTTGAGTTGGCATCAAGTTAACTTGATGATTAATGTCCTAATAAAACGTCGTTAAACAATAAACTTCTTGGTCATTTGTAATCATATACATTGTGAAAATGGGTTTTAATCTAAATTTAGATGAATCAAAAATCAAATTAAGAGACGTTTAAATCCCAATTTTTCTTTTGTTTACATTCATGAAACTTGAAGCTATTAACTAGAAATATATATAAAGCTGACATAGTTATCATAATTATACTTAATTACTTGCCGTAAGCTACATGTTTGTTGCGAGTGTCTTGTCCCTTAATTACTAATACTTTTCATTTAATTATTAATACTTACTTCAATTAATTTACTTTAATATCAGCGCCGTTTAGTGATTAAGATTTTTTTATTATGTGTATCTTCATTAATTTATGATTTAAATATAATTTGGTCAAGGAAAATCGACCTAGCTGGGAATGAACGGAAAACATGGAATGAAATATCTTATCGCCTGAATAATCCATTCTATAGTCTCTTATTTGCACCGTACACACCTCGGGCTTCAACCCCTCCGATTTACGTGCGGCTCCCCTACGGGCGATGTCTATCGCGTTTCTCGTTTTAGGGTCGCCAAGACCGAGAAAGGGGCAGCACACACGCACAGGGAAGAAAGAATCGATCGTCATCAAATTGAACTGAAAATTCTTCAAACTGGGCGACGGAAAAGGAAAACATAGACGGGTAAGAATGGCGGACGAGGCGCAGCAAAGTCAACAGCCGACTACCAAGAGGCACAAGGTTCTAAGTCATCTACCCATCGCCATCAAAGTGCTCGAAGTGGTGAGCATCTTTTTAATCGAACAGAGAGTAGCGTGTGTATGTGTGTAATTACAGCGCGCTTCGTATTCTGTTGTTGAAATTTTTTTTTCGCGCGAGAAATTACGAGAAATATCGTTACAATGACGATTTAACAGACGGAAGTCGCGATTTTTTAAATGAATTTTCCGTATTTTTATTCTTGATTTTCTCGATCTGCATAATATGACGATGTATTTTGCCGACATTTCTTCAAGGAAAAAACAATTTTGCTAGATTCAGATCTGAAAATAATTTTTGTTCAATTAATCAAAATAATTTTGTTTGAAAGTCAAAATGATTGCTCGAATATCAAAACGTTTTATATAGTAACGCTTATCGGTTTTAATATTCCAACAAAATATTTTGACAAAAAATACAAAAAATTGTTTTAATTGTTGGTTTAACAAAAAATTATTTTCAGATCTGTATTCAGTAAAAATTTTAGACCTTTTAACAAAAACGTTTTTTCCGCGTTCATTTGCTATACATTATTTGACCTTACTTCTTATACTTCTGATACTTCTTCTTTTTTTTTTCGATCTCTAGACAACATAAAATTGACCCATAAGACGTCCTCAAGACATCTTTTAGATATCTTTCAGACATTTCTGCGAAAACTATCTAAAAGTTGTCTAAAAGGTTTAAAAAAAGATGTCTTATGTACGTCGATTTTAGACGCTTTGTGTTCTCTGACTTCGTCGTTATGCATGTTCAATGTAGATAGCGTTAAATAGCTCTTATTTCAATATATTTTAATATATCTCGACAGATACTGGCTATTTTTGCCATCGGCCTGGCGGTGGATCCGATGAACTCGTTCCAGCGCGTTTTCAACAGGCCGCGATTCAAGCTGGACGACTCGGCCACTATCTACGTCTCGGTCGCCGGCTATCTTCTCATTAACGCGCTCTTCATTATCAGCCACATGCTGGGCGATCGTATACCGAAAAGAACGGTAATGTAATCTTTCCTTCTATAAAAAATCACGTTAAAATTTAAAGTTTTACTTGAAACTTCTGCGCCTTTTACCCTCGGCGACGCATTTTGCTATCCCTGGCCTCTTCAACAAAGAAGAGACAGATATATTTATAGGTATTCTGCGCATCCTCTCATGCGGGGTATAAGAGTTATAAAAGACTATAAGATCGTTCCAAGGATGATCTTTACAATTCTAAATATTTCATCATTTTTTGATAAGGAGAGCGCGAGATCGATTTCGAATTAATCATAGAACCCCCGTGATGAAAAAATGACTCAACGTCCGCTTCACACATCAAATATTTTTTTTCTTTTATAGAAGGGTAATTTTTACCCTGGAAATGAAATATCGATAGAGAAATAACACAAGAACACAAAGAAGTAACACGAATAGGGTAATTCCGGTATATAGTTATACATATACACCGCACCTATTAAAAACTTAATTTATCAGGTATTATTAATTATGGTTAAGATAAATGAGGTTACCAGTAAAAACTTTAGACTGTCTACTATTATGAAAAAAATATTAGAAATCCAAAATATTTATTTTTTACATTAAAATAAATTCTTTAAATCCTTGCATTTTTGTCGTATAACCCACCCATATAAAAATATGGGTGGATTATACGGCTATTCACGAGTAAATGACTCAAAAAATATACAAATAATCTAAAGAGCTAAGCACTTGTATTTTACTATACTCTATCCTTTACAATTTCCTCTACACTTATGTACCACGAAATAACCACGAAGCCTTTTATATTTCCTACAATAATCATTTTATGTAGATTATAACTTAATGGTTGAGCTACTTATTACAGTGATAAGTCGATTTAACTTACAATAATTTATAAATATTAACAATAAAAATATGAAATCATAACACAATACTAATATAACATAAAGGTATGTAACAGAGTGGTTGTGAGAAAATTACTTTCACTTCTTCTATTTTTTCTTACTTCTGCGGCATAAATCCTCGCGCGGCGTATATACCGGAGTTACCCTATTGAGTTTTTTGGGGGGTTTTTTTTAGGAATATCCTCAATTTTCTGTAAGCGTTTCGCGGGGATTAACAGCCGATAACCGTAAACCTACGTCCTCGTTATATTATTACTGTAAACATGGCCTTGTTATGTTATGTCCATAGCAAAGAACGCCATAGGCCGCGACTAGATACGCCTAGTTCATTTGTACAGCTGAGTCATTACAACGGCGATGTGCGACGGCGTATATATGCGTTAATTAGCGGACGCATCAAGGCCTCTCGTTGCGCGACTACATGCACGCTACACTTCGAAAGTCGTTTTACACACCGTTTAAGAATGTTTCGAATGAAAAAATAAATCGCGCGACACGAAAGATCGCGACACACGTCGCACATCGGAGCGCGCGCGCGCGTCGTGATATCCGTGCTCATGAATCATTTACTTTTCAACTGTGCAAATCTCGCTTACACACGCTGATGCGTCGTATTACGAGGCATGCATAATCGATGGCCGTTTGCGGCCGTCATATCTTTGACAAACAAACGGAAAAATATCTCAGCCTCGTAACAGACACGAAGCTAAATAATAATAAGCTTCTCTGCACGTAATTCTGTTTCGAACGTGAACGATCAAAACGCGATATTATAGAAATTGATCTATTTTCAACGCATTAATGGCAAGTCAACCAAGCAACATGAAGTCCAAAAAAATCGGGACGAAAGAACGTCTTAAAAACATGGAAAGAACGATTTTGCTGGATGCCTACAAATTTGAAAATAATTTGGTTGTTCTAGCAAAATCGTTCTTTCCATCTTTACAAGAAACGTCTAAAAGATAATGAAGAGATATTTTAAAGACCTCCTATGTCCCGCTTTCAGACTTTGTCTGGGAGGTTGCACGATTTATTTAAAGGATTGACATGAACAGTAACAACATTTCCCGAGTTTGAGTGACTGAGAGGAAGTTTCTTATTAAAAAGTTCGTAAAGTAAAATTTCCTAAACCTTCACCGAGAACCGTCGGGATTTGCGATTCATCGCGAAATTGAAACTCCAAGCGCCAGGCTGCCGCGCGTATCTGCGTGCGCGTCCTCCGCGGCAATTTACTTCCGCCGGCAATTAAACATTGAACATGGAGTCGCGGCGTATTTTTTTTATCACGCTAACGTTAAAGGTCAGCGCATTTAATTCCACGATTAATTGACTGTTACAGTTGCTGATGTTCGCGTCTGTGGGCGCGTTTATGCACGTGGTGGCCGGAAGCTTGATGGTCCATAATTGGCGCCAGATGAACGGTCCTTACTATTACGTGCACAACAATGAGATCCATCCCAGCAAGCAGTACATGGACATGCTTATATCAGCGGCCGTGTTTACATTCGTGGCCGCCGCGGCATTTGTCGCGGAAATTATCGCTATTATAAGATACGCGTGAATACGCGCGTCTCTCGCGTAAGAAGATCCGTTGATTCAAGCGAGTTGAAGGATTCGCGAGTATCACCAAAGCTATGTGGATAGTCCGTTTAAGAAAAAAAAGGCAGAAGAAAAATATGTAAGATCTTAATCGTTTAACGTTTATTATGAGCAGTTTCACCGAGCTTTCCGAAATCAGCGGCTATTAATTTGATATGCTACGATATTTCGTGAATCGAAAGAGTTTTGAAAAATTGTGTTTTTTAAGGCTCCTGACTTACACTCACAAGCCAAGACTCCATGTTGACGGTGGCGACACTATATCGCGGTAGAAATTACAACTTTGTTCGGCCCGTTTTACATATGCCATATGTCATAAGTCGTAAGCCATAAAAATTCTACAATATGTCGTATGCCGGTAAGTAGTAAGAATTGATCAATTATAATCGAATGTGAAGAAAATATGCCCGACTATGCTTGATCAATGCAGCTTACGAAACCGGCATAAAACATATTGTAGAGCGGACTGTACTGTAAAAAAGTTGACGACGAAACTTTGTCTTGCATGCCATTTTGTTATTATATGGTTAATTGTGAAAATATGACTTGTCTTGTACACCCACGGTCATCGATTCTGTCCCTCGGAAATTTTCACAAACTCTGAAGTGATCACTTTTCTATATTAATGCTCATAATTCATGCACGATTAACGAAACGAAATCGTGTATGGACTATAAGCATTAATGTAGAAAAGTGATCACTTCAGAGTTTGTGAAAATTTCCGAGGGACAGAATCGATGACCGTGGGTGTACTTATCAAATTCGTAAAAACGAATGGAAAATAATGTTAGCTTTGAATTTTATACATAAAATCGTAAAATCATATTTTTTTACTTTTTTTCAACAGCTGTCAAATCGTGTTTTCTTGCCTTGAATGGGCTTCACTTCACATACCTTTTACGACTATTTAGTGACTGTCGGGGGGAGAAAAGATCCATGCATTTTTACAAGTTTTTAAAAGTGATTCTATTTTTTTATTTCATCCAAATTCTCTTTATTTAAAAATGGCATGCAAGAAACTTACATGTCATTTCTCGCTTATGACGTCACGATTTCAATATGAAAGTCAGGTGGGAGTCAGGAGCCTTAAATTATCTATTTATAGAATTGTTATGTTTTAGTATTACCTGTTTTAATGAAAGATATAAGGTGCTACCCAAAAATTCGGGGAATTTGTCTTAAAAATTGCTTATTTCAATTCTTAGTTTTCACCTTCGAAATAGTTTTCTTGGACACGAATAACGATTTCAACATTTTTCCATGATTTCTGGATATCTGTCTCGATTTTCTCAATAATGTCGAGAACGACGATTCTTCAATCGGAATTCCATTTTGGGAAACAGAAAAAAATTACAGAGATTGCCCGTCTTATTGACGAATAAGGTGGATGAACAATTATTGTCATATTTTTACACCGAGCAACGAGCTGCTGAACAACGATTGATGTGTAGACGGGATGGATCACGATGCGTTGTCGTGATGGAGTACTTAGATGTTCTCCCACTTCATCGCGTTTGCCGTCTTCAAAAGTTCACAATAAAACTTCTCGTTGACCAAAGGGGGAGGGGAGACGAATGCCTTGTAGATAAGTAAACCCAGGCAGGATAACGCAGGAGGTGTTTAAAACACTCACACTTGAAGACTTCCAAAAATACATGGAATCGTGCAAAGAGAAAAACGTTGGGATTGTTACATCCATGCCCGAGGGATTACTTTGATGGAGACAGAAACTAGGAGTTAAGCAAAATTTTTTTTATGAGCGAACTCCCCAAATTTTTGAGCAGCACCTCGTATCGTGGTAAATAAAAAATCGTAAAATCTTTTAAAAGTATTAATTTTGTAAAATTATCGAACACATACATATATAAAGTCGTATTAGAGATAGTAAGAATATTATATAATATCTGTTATCACAGTGTAGTAGCCTGTAAGGTCGTGTATATGCGTGTAATTATCATTAAAGAAGATTTAGTGATTAGTTGAGTTAGCACAGTTACCGTAATTATCTAGTAAGAGAAGACCAAACGCGAAATTGCAGTCTTGGCGCACAGCAGCCGCGATTTCCAAAACATTCTTTGCTATACGGATAGAAAAAAAAGTATCTATTTGCGTACGAATCCGTCCATTTTTGTACCTAAAGCGTTTATTATTTTTACAAAATGTTGCAAACTTTAAGTTATATTTTTTAAGTAAGCGGACTAAAAAGAAGATCTCTTTCTACCTATTTTCATTTATCTCTATTTTTTTCTACTCATATTTCTGAATGAAAACTATACGTATTATATCTATTTGTCAGGTTGCAAATTTGGCAAATTTGGCACTGGCAAATTTGAAATCTGCAGCAACATTAACAATGCATATATTTGAAATCTATTCATTAATATTTCATGCTCTATATGTGTTTTCTTTTTATCTAATGCTTGTATTTTGTATAAAAATAAAATAAACGTATAAAGATGTTGGACATTTATTTCATTTCATCGATCGAGTAAGTTTTCAGATGCCCTGAACGTCGCGTGTTACATGCGAGCGGCATAAAAGAGATTGATAAACTCGAAATACAAAATATCGATTTGTAATAAAATGTGTAAAAATCACGGATTTCAATATACATATATGTATAGATCGCTAACATGCTATAGTTTGGTACCAGATGAGTTGAAGACAGACGCGATATTTATCCGGTAATCACATACGGTGCTTCATGAAGTAGTGTTAGTGTACATTCAATAATGTTGGTTAACATTTTGACGTTTTGGAATGTCACCCATTACTGGTTAAAGATGTTGGTTGGCTACTTTATCCTCTCTCCTGAGGTTCTTGGCTTCATTTCATTTCTCGGAGCGGAGTTAGCGATCTATGGTATAAATCTGTGATAAAAATGATGGACGAAAAAGAAGAAGTAAAGACAAATTTAGTGAACTGGGAGAGAGAAGAGCGTAAATCTATGTCATATTCTTTCTCTATACTTTTCTCAAAGTTAAATAAATAAAAATCATGAAGAGCAACTCTTAGGATCATCGCACACAAAAAAAACTTTAGCAGTAAGACGTAGGCAGATTTGACGTGTTGGATTTGCTACTGCTTACGTTATAACCTTACATTCTCGATTGTGATTGGTCGATTCGCTTACTGCTTAAGTTTTTTTGTGTGCCATAGCCCCTTAGAACATATATTACAATATATAAATGAACAGTCTAATTAGTATATAATAAAAGTTTTTTTTACTTTAGTATTAATAAAGTGCAAGTTTAGTTTTCGAAAAATAAGTGAGTGTCTCTTTAGGAGACTTATGTCGGCAACGGTGATTTTCTTATATCTGTTGATATTTATGAAATATCACGATATATATACAGGGTACCTCTGTGAAGTAGTCCCACTTTTTTAAAATAAAAAAAAATAATCAGAGTTGCCCCCTCCCCCCGAAGAGTTCTAGAGTTCTCTATCGATTTTAGAAAGAATTCCATTGATTAAAGCGATGAAAACAGTATTTGAAGACATGGGGAGAGGCTATCAAAACTCTTAAGAAATTGCCGGAATTCTAAAAAAATGTTTTGAAAATTTTCGAGTCCATATCAGCCAAAAAATTTTTTCGAAAATCTGATAATTTCTTAAGAGTTCTGGTAGTCCCCCGAAGAGTTCTAACGATTATCCTTAATGGTCGACGCTGAGAAATCGAAAACTAAAAAGTTCTAGCGCTCCGAAGGTATCGCATTCGAAATTTTCTATTTCTAAGTCTATGGAGCTGAAATTTTTTTGGAATTCCGGCAATTTCTTGAGAGTTCTGATAGCCCCCCCGCCCCCCAAAGGGTTCTATCAATAACCCTTGTGATCAAAATCGCTAAAATGAAAAACAAAAGAGTTATGTTTTTTTAAAGTTACAGAAATATGAAGTTGGCCCTCCCCCCATATCTTTAAATGGTGTTTTCATCGCTTTAATCAACGGAATTCTTTCTAAAATCGAGAACTCTAGAACTCGTCGGGAGGCAACTCTGATTATTTTTTTCAAATTTTAAAAAAGTGGGGCCAACTTCACAGAGGTATACAGTGTCGCGAAATTTGCGAATCAAAATATTATAGCAAGAAAGTTTTCGAAAAATTAAGTAAGAAAATTATTTGTAAATTTTTATTTTAAGTAGTAGTTTTTGAGATATAAAAATTTAAATTTAGTCAGTTATATATTAGTACGCGCGTGAAGTGCGCGACTACTAACACTATCGACGCGCTCACGGACATGTTTCCGTTTAACTGTAATCTATAAATTTAAACTATTATATCTCAAAAACTACTGCTTAAAATAATAAATTACACATAACTTTTTTACTTAATTTTTCGAAGACTTTTTTGCTATTATATTTTGTTATTTTAATTGTAACATTGACAAGGACATCTAATCAGGCTCGTTATCCCTTATATACTTATTATATATAAGTTTAAATCGTTGAACCGGTTAAGTTGTCTTTTTTCATTTTTATTATATTTTGATTCGCAAATTTTGAAACACCCTGTATATTAGTTTCATAAAACTAACGATTTGAATTAAAATGGCAATGCGCATTACTGAATTCATATAATTTTTTCAATTGAGGATTCTTACTTTATTTATTATTGTCTATAAATTTTCATAATCCATTATTTCAAATTTGCATTGCATTACAAGATTATAATTTTTTTCAAATGATTGAAGTATAAGTTGTTACAGAAAAAGTATCAATAATGATATTTCTTTATCTAATATGCTAATGAAATAATTATTTAATTTGTTTATCTTTTTATATTATCTTATCAGTTCGTCTCATACTCTTGTATTTATTTTCCTATAGACAAAATATTATTTATTAAAAGTTTTTAATAGTTTTTCCGAAACAAAATAAAAACTTTGGCACGCAATTCTAGATTTACTTTTTAACATAAAAAAATTTTATATATCCGCATTTAACATAAAAATATATATCCAATATATATTGATGTATATTTTAATATTTATATAAATATATCATGATATTCGCAAATCCTCTGTCACTCGGTTTTCGAAAAATTATTTTTACAGGATGAGAAAAGAATTGTACTATTGTAGAATTAATGTTCACCTGAGAAAATGATCGAACGCCCACTTGTAATAAATGCTCTAAGCATGGCCCTTACTTCATAGCAAGTTCTTACTTCATGCAGATAAAAATGATGAGCAAACGTACGCGAAGTTAGTCATTCTTTGACATGACAATGACTTCAATCGAGGAAACAAAAATATGCGGCATGTCCTCGTAAATGTCAAAAAGTTTTAAATAGAATTTTCTCACGTGTGTGCGTGTGTTATCATTCGTTTTGTATTACAATACGTCATAGCCATAGTATAATGTTACGCGTTGTTGTAATATTACTACGTTAAATAAATTGTAAATTGCAAGAAGCAAAACGGTGAGGATAGAAATGTCAAAAATGATTAAGCGTTTGCGTCAAAAGAAGCTGTTCCAGCCCAAAACCAGCAGATGCTTGTCGATGGTCAGGCCGCTGAGGATATTTCAATTCGTGCGTATCGGGCCGCGTTATTTCGTTTGATCGCGACCTTGAAATCGGAATTAGGAAACCGAAATCGTCACACTGTAAAATTTTCTCTCAAGACAGTTTGCGGTGCTGCTACTGTTCGCGTTCACGATCTACATGACCGCGATGGATCCTACACCGATAAGCGCCCTCGCCTGCATCCTCCTGATTAGCCTGTCGGGCGTATACGTTTTCGTCTTAGCCGTCGAGCTGATCAGCCACTTTGCCGATGGCGCCTTGCACGTTATTCCGGTAATTTACGCCGCACTGTGCGCATCACTGTTCAGTGAAATCAGAACCAGGGAGAAAGAAACAACGCTCGAAACAACGTTCTTTAAAATTTTACGCGTTTCTTTCAAGAACGCGCAGATCATTTATCAATAAGGATAAATTGACAAGCTGAAAAAAAGAATAATCATTGTCCACACGTTTTACTTATTAACAAGATGTTAATAATAATTTTTAAAGTGTTTTCCGATTTTACTGAAAAAAGTAAATATATATATATATATATATATATATTTATTTATTATAAACAAAGATATTTTTCCGTACAAATTATTACAGACGACCATATTTTCCTTGCTTGGTCTCTTGTTTTTCGGCGTTGCCGGAATTTTATTGATTTGCAACGCCTACGCACAACTTGCGGTGCAAATGGTAGCGATGGCACTGTGTCTGCTGACAGCGTTATTATTTTTAATCGATATCACGATGGTACTCGTGTGAGTCTCAATCTTAAATCGATACTGCAGAGACGGACAGGTCCAATCGAATAGAATTATAATAAAAAACACTTTATACGTTTTTAGATTTTGGAAGAGAAAATGCTCGGCCTGTTGCAAACGATATTGCAATAATGTAGAACTTTTATCGCATAAAGGCGGAGAACCGAGTGTCATATCAAAAACCGAAGTAAGTACTCGCGAAAAAAAACTTCACGTAAATGTAAAATTAAAATATTCAGTTCTATAGATTATAGAGATTCTATAAAGATTCACAATTTTAATATATATAAAAATTTAATTAAATCAAATTTTTATTTTAATTTAAAAAATTAATAAAATTTAATTAATTTAATTAAATGTTATTATAATTCAATAAAATTAATAAAATTTAATTAAATATAATTAAATAAAATTAATAAAATTTTTATTAATCTAATTAAATTATTCTGTTTTCGCGTACAAGCTTTAAGAAATGACTTAATAGAATGCATTAGAATGATTATTTTCTCAGAGATAACTCTCTCTCGCGCATCGGATTATCAAGCTTATTTGAATTTCATAATATCGTAAATTAAACGTCACTGTTTTATGATCTAATTCATATCTCTCGAGTGTAAACGTAGACAATGAGGCACGATGTAACGACCAGTCTGAGTGACGTCAGGGTGCCCCACGAATTGGAAGACGTCGCAATGCCTGATCACTGTTACCGCAAAGTCGAGTATCCCCGACGGCGAGAGTACGTCGACTGTCCTACCTGCGTGCCATCATTGTGTAATCTCGACAACGCTCAAATTCAAACGGAACCGAAAAAGATGTCTGTCGTGGAGAGTCAAGTAAGTCGGATTCGAGCGTTTATATATAATGTATGTATACAATGGTTCAGGACTTTCGATTCAGAACTTTTTTACAAGAAAGAACGTATAATACGGTGTATCTTAAATAACGCCTAATTATATACTAATTATATAGCGTTATTTCTTGTAAAGAAAACTAAATTGATAGTCCTGAACCATTTTTTTCAGTGGTTAATAAAGCTACTGCAGTAATTACTGTTTCGTTGAGCATTATAGAAAAAAATAGTTCTTAAATAGTGGTATATACATATACAGAATGTCCTCCAAAAAATCACTCGCTACTTCGAGAGGTGATTCGGAACCCAAAAAGAAGGAAAAAAATTATATAAACACATGTAGCAAATATATGTTCGGAAATAAATTGTTTCCGAGTTATAGCCACTTTTATATTAAAATAATCGTAAATAAATCGTAATAATAATCATAATAAGTTATGATTAATATATATGATTATGACAATAAAAAATAAATTACAATTTTTTCAAGTTATATATTATATAGCTACTTTTATGTTAAAGATCGTAATTTAGTTTTTTTTTTAATTAATCACAATTTTTTTAAGTTATAGCTACTTTTATGTTCCAAAAATCGTAATTTATTTTTTATAACCATAATTTATTAAAATTATTATTACTATTTATTGCAATTTTTATTACGATTTTTTTTCGATGAAATTATTAGACTCCGAGAGCGATCACGAAGGAGACGCCAATGCAGACGTCGAGCAAATGCGAGTTCTGTGAACAACAAATACAATTCGCCAAAGAAGCTAGCATGCCCGATGCGCACAACTTTCCACATTCATCACAATGGAGTTATCCTGCTATCGTGCAGTTCATTCGCGGCGGGGTCAGCGCGCCGTGTTGCCCCGGGTAACTCTCTCTCTCTCTCTCGCTAGTTTTTATATGCCAGAATAGGAAATCCTAGAAAGTGACACGATTCTTTTTCTTGCCGCAGATGCAAATGCGCAATGAACACGACACAGACGCAACAGCAACGGCGACAGCAGCAACAGCAACCGCAGCAATTGACGCAACAACGTGCGGGATCCCCAGAAGTGTCGAATTCTAACAAAACGACGAGTGAGACAACACAGCAGGTTACGAGTAAATTTGATATCATACGGGAATTATGTGAAATTATTCCTATATATTGTTCAGAGTCACAGATCGGGCCAAAGTTGTTGCAAAGAAGAAAAGTTGTTGCTGGGGCGATTCTTTTCAGTATAAATCACTAGTACCACTCATCTCGTTAATGATTTTTAATTCTGATCTGTCTCATTCGCAACAATTTAGATCTGACGCTGAATTTCGCGCGGTAACGCGTGACATCGCTGATCGCTTTACGAATAATAATTCTCATCTAAAGACAGTACAGAAAGCGGGAACGTTACGGGATTGACGCCGCGATCCGCAGCCAAGTATACCGTTTCATTTTATAGCCCGGATAGGAAAATGCAGACCGTACCGGACGTCGTGTACGTGTATCATAAATTTATATGACAATCTTTATGAAAAGATTATTCTATTCGAGAAATATTTAATCCCTGAATGTAAGAAAAAAAAAATTTCAAGACCTTTTGATGAAACTTTTTTCAATTTTTTCAATAAAATTCTCTTTCATTTTGTAGGTCATCTGTAAAGAAAATTAAAGGCCTTTTCTTTTGACACATGGAAAGAACGATTTTGTTGAAAGATCTAAAAATTTTGCTGAATCAGATCTGTAAAAATTAATTCTTCTAGAATCATCAACAAATTTTATTGGAATGTTAAAAATGATAAGCATTGCTATAAAACGTTTTGATATTCCAGCAATTATTTTGCTAGAAAATATTGCTAGAAAAAAAATGCTTTCCCACAAAATTATTTTGATTATTAAACAAAAATTATCTTCAGATCTGGATCCAGCAAAATTGTTCTTTCCATGCAGTAATTTAAAATTAAATACTTTTTGTTACATAAATTTATTGCAAAATTCACTCTAATGTTACGCAAGTTAATATGAAAAAATATACGTAATAAATGCCTGAATTAAAAATCACGATTTATATTGCGATTAATCTTAGCCACAAGCAAAAAGTGAATGCAATGAAGATGAAAGAAGACGCGAGACCGACGAGAGAGGACATCGATCGAGAGCTCGCGAAGGAAGTCAGAGCGAAAACTAAAGGGCCCAAGATGATTGAAAAGAAGAAAAGGAAAAACGAGAGAAGCATAGAGGAAAGCGAAGAAGAGAAAACGATTGAAGGGGACAAGATCGAGAGAAGTAAGGGCGGAGGGGAACACCATGGTAGAGTCTATCAAGAATTTATGCGTCGCGCAACGGAACGAGGAAGCGTGACGAACCTGGAGGAATCGCCGACGCACACGTAGGCGGATTACTTTACATAACGCGACACGATAATATCGATTCAGCCATGCGTCTCGTAGCCATGCATAGCTTAAATCGACTGTCACGCGCTGCACGGTCTGATGAAACGAATGATTTGAAATATACATGAGAAAATGATTGCTTCAGGAACAGAACGTTAATCACACCGCCGAGCAATCGGACGAGACCTCGAGCGTTGTTGTGCTTGAAGTCAAACAAAGTGGATCCAATTAACGACACGTAAGCAATCGAAATCTCTCGTAAATAATGCGACAAATCCGACGATCCAGTCGATAATTCGATATTTCGATGCGCGAGCTTACAATTCACGAACTTTGTTTGCCACTTTAGAAGTATATTCGACGAGGATTGCATCGCCGAAAGGATGGCGCCGAGGGAGCTACTTGATAATCAAGCCGTTCAAGAAGTATAAAACACGTTTTTATTAATAAGTTATTAAAATAAGATAAATGAATCATTCAATAAACGGAAAAGAATTAAAATGGATTAAAATTTTTAAATTCATGGATTCAAATTCGTTGAAATGGATTGGCCTCCGTGGAAATAAATGTATTTCTATTTTATAATATGAATATAATATTTTTAGTATACTTTAATATATTATTTTTTGGATTTGATGGATTGAAACTATACATTTCGTAGTTGCTATTTTTAATTAAATAACGTTCATGGTTCATTTTTACGGAAATTTATATGTTATTATATAAACTATATATTCTTTAAACTTAATTAGATCGAAAAGCATTTTCTATCTAGAATTTTGAATTAATCATTATTCACGATTTACTTTTCAAAACTGAACTTATTTTTAGATTCAATGGTATAGAGAATGTAATCATGCAATTCCTATAAATGAATACAAAAGAACTGCAATTGAGCAGTGAAATGAGTTTAGATTTTCAGAAATAAGAATTCGCGAACGTTGAAATGAATATTTTAAAATCTATTTTAATCTATTTCCCTTTACTGGGCAGTGACTGGACATATACCTATATCGGGACATGCACACAAAACTTATTAAGTAATCTCAAATTTTTTAAATAATATTAAATTTAATTGTAATCTTTAAATATTTTTACAATTAAATTTTGATACACGAAAAGAACGATTTTGATCGGAAGATTTAAAAAATTTGAAAATAATTTTTGTTAGAGCATCATCAAAATTTTGTTGGAAAGTCGAACTGATTGATCAAAAGAATATCAAAACTTTTTACAGCAATGCTTATTATTTTTGAGTTTCCAACAAAATATTTTGATGGTGCTTTAACAAAAATTATTTTCAAATTTTTTCTTTGATCTTCTAGCAAAATCGTCTTTCCGCATTATGATAAAAAAAATCATTTAAGTGTAATAAATTTTATGTAAATGTCAGGACATAGGTACATGGTTTCTAAACGTCTAGTCACTGATACGTTTATCTTAAGAGTGTTGGAAAGTAAATTCTAATAATGCGATCTTTATTCCCGTTCTAGAGCGAGCATGTTTCAAGGACTGGATCGCCGAATTTTCTAATTAAACGGCTGGACAATGCTTGTTTGTCCTATAGGCGACAGAAGGTGATACTTCAAAGTGATAATACTAATTTCATTATTGAGTGCTTTCCATTTAGTGACACAAGCCGACGCAAGTGTCGCGTTTTGGTCAATCACTAAATGCCAAGAAAGACAGAATGATGTTTGCGTCGACTAAATGGAATGTCGACTTGTGTCACTAAATGGAAAGTAGCTCTTCTGGGAATCTAATGATCTGAGAATTTCTCAGGCTCTCTCGCTTTGTATTATCTCAAACCGCATGCTTTTCAGAGCTTAACGCCAACTTCGGACAATTCCAGATGTTACAGCGTCTTCAAGGACAGAAAAGGAAGATACTTCTGCGAATTTTGCGCCCCGGAGGATACTAAAAAGGTAAAAGTCCCCACATTTCTACGACGAATTGAATAAACACATACGCGAAAGAAAATTGTATTAACATCAGTCAACAATTTAATTGAAAATAATCTTGTTTCTTTAAGTATATCAGTTTTGTAATCATTATTTTGAAATCAGTATTAACAAAACAAATGTTTTATTAAAACAAGACGTGCGTTTCAGTAAAGTTCTTTCTCTTTCTGTTTAATTATCACTACTGTCTCAAATTAAGCCTTCGAATTGACGTCAAAAGCGAGAAAATACACAATACAAATTCTTTTAAAATATATTCAAATAAAAATATTTTTCAATAAAAACACATTTGTACCAAATAAAATAAATTTAAAATATACTATCTTTTTATTTCGGAAAGGAATTAAGTTATATTTATTTCTATATGCTATTAATTTGAGAGAGACAATCATCATAGCTGTGAAAACAGCTCATTTCGTTATGCATAATTCATTTTCAGATATTTATTAAGAAACAAAAAAATAAAGTTTTTCGGTATATTTTACAAGTCGGTTTTATCCATTATATCCATTTTAATATATTTTGTAAGAATTTTTATTATAGATTTTCTCGTTTCTGACGTCGAGATAATGTGTGAAATGGAGTAACTTAATACAGTCATTAAATTAAAATTGATTTTCAATCAGAATTTATTTTCATGCTAATGTATATTGTTAATACATAATTTTTTTTCTATGCATATACATATGCGCATGATTACTTACTATAAAATGTATCATTTTAGATTTGAAAAATAATTATCTCGTGATTTGTTTTGGTTACATAAAAAACCTATTTATACGCATTTAAATGAGAACATATTTTGAAGAAACTAACTTTTATTCAATTAAATTGATTTATTAAAAACCAATTATTGAAAAACCAATGTTTTCACAGACAACGAGCAGGCTCGAAGGCACGGATTTACGGAAGCTACGGTGTATCAATTGTCTATTGCGTCTTCGTGATCGAGGTGTCAAAACTGTAAGTGTCGGAATAACGAATAATCCGTAAAAGATTGTCAAAGTTTAGACGTGACCAGAATTTCATTGTCATTCGCAGAACGTTAAGCTGAAATCGGACACCTGTTCGAAATACGGTCAATCGCAAAGGCGCGTGACTTCACCCTCCTTCACGTAAACAGATTGCAATTCACAACTTACAGATATCTCGCGTCGATAGAGCGCACAGTATCGCGCGGGTCGCGGCCGGAAGCGTTATTCGCGACGCGATTGTTTCGCTTAGAGATCTTTCATTTCTTACAATAATTAAATCATTAGGAACAGCGATTAAGGAACACAGTATAAACTCGTCTTCACGCGGACATGCTGGAGAAGAAATACGCGGCGCTGATCGCGTTGTTGATTATTAGCTGTAGTGATAATTGGCGGTAAAGAAGTACGAATCGTGTTCTTTCTTTTTTGTTTGCCTTTGGATTTCAGATTTGTCGAATCTCAGTACCACGATTTAATCGTGTTCCTCACTTCATCGGAAGAACATGATTCGTACTTCTTTGCGTACATTCCTGCGAAACATGATACTCAATTGCCGCCCAGTTGGCGGGACGCGCGTCACTTTGTACTCTAACGCCAACGCAGTTGTCCTGTGTAGAAGAGTTTTCCGAGATTTGCTACAAATTAAGCAAGCCTTATGCTCACCTTGCGTAATTTCTAGCAAATCTCCGAGCTCTCCTTTCACTCCAAACGCGCGGGACAATAAAAAAAAAGAAGAGAAAAAAGAAAATATAACTCTATTATTGGCTATTGAACCTTGAGTGATTAAAAAATATAATGATAAAAAATCTTAAGACACCCGTTAAAAACTGTGCGATTAAAAAATATACACGGGTGATTAATTCGGCTTTTTAAAATAGATATTATAAATATGACAGCGCGCGAGACTTAATCCAATATAAATATATGCGGTCTTCACAAACAAACGTGTCCTTCCGGCGAATAAGTCGCAATTACATAGATTTAAAAAAATAGATATATGCCAACGATTATGCGCGGTTTCAGAAAAATGGTAACATGGCGTTTACCGATAAAATGTTACAAAATGAAAAAAAATTTCGCGAGTCGTATTGGGTCGATATTCGCGAGTCGTAATTGGCACGATTAGAAGCAGGCAGGAGATCAGCGAGCGTTCAGTGATTCTTTATTATGATCCTCTACACTTAGATCTAGCAGAGAACTAAAAGCAATCATATTAAAGAATCATTGAACATTAAGTTGCACAGAGATTTAACTCTTAACGACAGTTCGTCGATTGTATGGTAAAAAAAAGCAACGATAGTGTCGTTGCTTATATATTAATATGCGCAATGACATTATAACGATAACGAACTGTCGTTAAGAGTTACAAAGCTTTAGATCTGCTGAACGCGCCAATTGAGCTGTGAATTGAAGAAACCGCGATGAAAAGAGCTTAGCAACGCTTACACTAAAAACAAAACAAAACAAAACAAAAAAAAAAGATCTTTGCGTCACTTACATGCAAACCTTTCTCTTTGGCGTCAATAATTAAAAACAAAACACCAAAAACAAAAAAATCTGTGTCAATAATTAAAAACAAAAAAAAATATGTCCTAATGATTGTCCCATTAGAGTGCACACAAAATAAACGTAAAACTTTGGTTCGCCGTAATCTCTTAAAATCTAAATAAAACTCTGTCAAAACGGAAAAAGAGGAAAGGAAGAATATCACAGGAGGGCGCGAGCGGTGTCCTGCTTCAAAATCGGCCTGGGGCGTTTCTCGCCGAGGCACGTCGCGTGTTCCGCCGGCATGCAGATCGGCGTGTAATTCATAGAATGAACGTAGGATGGCATCGTGGCGGCACGCGATAACGCGTCACCGTTCACCGGCGCGTTTCCCGTCGTCAGGATTCCGCGGCGCCAGGAGTCGTAGTCGACTGCAGGACTCAGATCGGCGGCGATCGATCCACGACCGTCGATCTGCTCGTACGCGCGACAAGCGTAGCCGTCGCGAGCGTGATTATTACCGCTGATGACCGAGGCGGATTCGGGAAGAGCGTCCTTCGCGCAGAGATAAGCCGGCGACTGCAGCAGCACGTAACACGCCGGATGATTCGGATAACGGACGGCGGCGTACGGCCGGGTCTGATCGACCGTCCTGCTGGTGGAGAGAAGCGCCGGACGGCAATTCGAGACGCCAGACTCGCTCGGGTATCCGTCAAACAGGGAAGACCGCAACGGCGACGGCGGCGGCAGGTTTTCCCTGTCGTTGTTCCAAAACCACCTGCTCGACAATTTGTCCAACGAATCGTGGGCGGCCATCGGGCCGTCGGAACTCGTCGGCGAGTTGGGTAACGTGGACGGCAGATAACAGCCCCACATGTCGAAGTTCGAAAAGCTGCCTGCGTCCTTCTTCCGCTGCGTCTTATCGGAGGAATAATAACGCCCCCCCCCGTCCAACGGATATTGCACGTTGTCGTTGATGTCCGTGAGCACCTGCCTCTTCTTGTCTTCGCCCAACGGCACGGACTCGTCCATGGCCGACATGGCCAGCATGGTGGAATAGCGGGTGGCGTTGCCACAGCTGGCGGCAGGTCTGGCGACCGGCGACGGACCGGCCTGACCGTTGCCGCCGTTCGGCGGGCAGATCAGCGTGATCGATTTCCTCCGGGCGCGGATAGATTCGTTCTGCATCGGCGGAATCGACATGGCCTTCTTCGACGAGGACTGCAGGTACTTCCGAGTGATCTGTACGTCGCCTTTGTCATCGACAGTGCCACGATCTTCGTACTGACAAACAGGTACGTATATGCGAGTTATATACATATAAGAGACAATTTGGTATTGTTGCAAAGCGGCAATGTAGACGCCCGGTTGCACCGATTCATTGACCGATTAATTTGGGATTAATTGGCATTAATTCCAAAATAATATTAAAATATATTTAAAAAAAAATTAAAATATCTAAAATATAAAACATCTAAAGGGAAATCTTTTAGGCAAAAGGCTTGTTCTTTTTAACCTAAATCTTCCTGCATCATTCATGTTTATCTTTCTCCAAGTGGAGAGAAAGAAAGAAAAGATGAGCAAGAAATTTAACTGAAAAGAACAGATCCATTCCTTTTTTTTTATAAAAAAAGAACACAAATCGTTAAGCTAATTAACGTCTAATGTCAGTGCAATCCGGGCGCAGTTGTGAATAATCATCAGAATATGAAGAAAGCATTATAAGAAATTTGTTTATTGTCTTTTTCATTGTAAAATGTTACGTAATAATGTCATATTGGAATGTGCATTTCATTGTTTTATAAATTCATCGACGGGGACATTCATAAATATCCGATTTGATTTCATTCAATTTCCTAGAATTCTCGTGAATGACTGCTATCGATGCTCAAATCTGAATGCATTTTAATACATTGCTCATTGGATAATCACAATTTGTTTTTATTAAACATGATGTGTTTTAAATAACCTTTGTGGACTAAGATAATCATGTTTTCGAAATGTTGCGCGTCAATCGATAAGATGTGTGGCAATATAACGCGTTAAAAATAGTTTCGCAATCTTCCCTCGGAGCTTATTGCTTACACTTGTTTGTCGTAGACGGGCGAAATTTTTCCACTCAAAAATACCCTCCCGTGAATCTTTTATTCATAAAACCTCTAAGGGAATTCGAATACAACGTAAGCTACACGCATGTCTAATTTCTATTTGCTGCGCAAAGACGAGTATAAATTTCGTCATTTAACCTTCGGTGACGCGCGCATTTGTTTTTTTACAACACATATCATGCTGTTTTTTTCTCATTTTTACTTAAAAGACATTCTCCATGCGACTACACTGTACTGATTAGGGGGTCGATTGTGTATCATGAACGAGATGAAAATTACAAAAATGAGCAAGTTCACTAGATATTGGCCAATAAAATTAAAAATATTCTAGTGAATTTGCTCATTTTTGTAATTTTCACCTTATTCCGAGATAAACAATTGAGGGCTAGAACTAGAGACTCAATTGATACTGTACGCAGTTTTACGAGCTTATTACAGGGTGGATACTCAAATTTTGTAAAAGAATTCTCTGAAAATTCTCGGATTTTCCTGGAATTTTATTCAAAATTCCAAGTGAGATTAGAGAACTTCTCAATACAGCTTTAAAATAAATTAGGCACTAAGAGTTCTAGTAACGTATAGAACTTGATGTGTGAAACAATTTAATCTTTTCATATGTACAATAGTTACATCTCCATAAAAATGTGTGAAACAATTTAATCTTTTCATATGTACAATAGTTACATCTCCATACAAAATTTCTCGAACGTAACGAAAGACTTTGTATGGAAATGTAACTACATATGTGAAGATTAAATTCTTTCACGCACCAAGTTCTGCGTTATTAGACTCTTAATGCCTGACTAATTATTTCTGGATTATCGTTTTTTAGATTGAAAAGTCTTCATATAGTGTATGTCAATTTTAGAATAAATTAATTTTCAATATCAGAGGCCTTCGATATAGGGCCACGTTTACTTTCTAAAGGGATAAAATTAAATTTCAAAAATTCAAAAAATTTCCCTGAGTACCAGTAAAATTTCATGAGAATCCATGATTTTCAAGGACAAAAATGAAATTCTCTGAGAATTCCAGATTTTCCCGATAGTACCCACCCTGTTATTATCATCGCGAAATTGACTTATGTAATAAAACACACATGAACACTGATTTGTAGTCGTAACGTGCAGAATGTGATTATTAATAAGGAAATTGTTCAAATGGTGTTTTTTCACAGCGCGAATCATGAAAGCTTGAGAAAAGAAAAAAAGTTCACTCGCAAATGTAGTCTAATTATTTCGTTTGAGTGACGTCAAACACTGTACAGTATGCATATCATCGTCGCGAAATTGACTGATGTAGCAAAACATATATAATAAATGATTCGTACAGTTGTAATGTGCAGAATGTGGTTATTAATGAGGAAATTGTTCACATGGTGTTTTTTCATGACGCGAGTTATGAAAGCTTGAGAAAAGAGAAAAAGTTCACTCGCAAATGTACATACAGTCTAATTATTTCGTTCGAGCCGTGTCAACACTATACAGTGTGCAAACAGGAAATGTAACTGTATACGTGAAGATTAAATTCTTTCAAGCACCAAGTTCTGCGTTATTAGACTTAATGCCTGACTAATTATTTCTGGATTTTCGTTTTTTAGACTAGAGAATCTTCATATAATATATGTCAATTTTTAAATAAATTAACTTTCTATTGAAATATCGAAGGCCTTCGATATGGGGCCACGTTTACTTTCTAAAGAGATAAAATTAAATTTCAAAAATTCAAAAAATTTCCCTGAATACCAGTTAAATTTTATGAGAATCCATAATTTTCAAGGGCACGCGCCGGTAGGCTGTCTACTCTTACTGTTGAACGTTAGGGGCACGTACCATTTCAGCTTTGGCCAAGTAAATCCAGAGCTTGCGCCACGTGCTGAACTTGTGCTGGTCGCTGAAATTGTAGCGCATCTCCTTCGAGGCATACCGGGTCGACAGAGGACTGCGATAGTCGGAATAATCGTTGCTCGGCACTTTCGACGCACTCATGGTTTAATCGAGAGAAAGAGAGAGATTCGAAAGGAACTGTCCGACGCGACCGCGTGAATAGGACTACATGCGATCAGCTGATACCGCCGTCTGACCCGGCTGATCGACGAAAACCGCGAGCGCCTCGTCTTGGGGAGTACGTGAACTAGTTCGAACGAGCTTCCAGCTCAGCCGATGCTCCAGAGTGAACGCGGCAACGAATATAAACGCGATATGGATGTAGAATTTTTCTAAGAATTAGAAAACGATAAGAGTAAATTAAGGATGTTTGATACCTATAATAGTAGCAAAAAGTTAAAGAACTGATTTCGACGAATATGCTCTTCTCATATAGTTTGAGTAATAAGGATTGTGCAGAATGTTATCATTTATTCAGAACTAGAGCGCAGAAATGGAAGAGCACACGT